GTAATGCGTCTTGTGTAATTTCATTATTTTCCCAATTTAGAACGAATGACCTCGTCACAGTGGGACAGCGCACTTGTGCTGCATGTTGCATTGGTGCAACGGTGTGTTTAAGCAGAGGAAAAGCAAAGCGCCTACAGTGCTGCTGCTACTGCTGCTGCATTAGCCTCGAATAGGCCCTTGGCCTGACCTCCTGTACCGTGGAGTTGCGCTGTTTCGCTTAATCGATTATTATTTCCGATGAGCGCGCGTTGTAGGAGCGGGAGCTCGGTGGCACCGTGGTTCGCACGGTGTTGTGTGAGCCCCCCGGGCCAGGTGGCCCAGCAGTGTCTATGGGGAGCCTGTGAGCGTGTACCCGCTTATCTTTCGTGCAGCATCTGTGCTGATAATGCCGCCTCCTGGTGATAGGGCGGCAGCAGACAGCGTCCTTCCGTTAACTGTTAATGTTGCAGATGTTCTGTCTCTACATTTTTCCTAAATGACAACCATCAGTCTTCCGACACGGCAAGAAGGACCTGGGTTCAGTTCCCAACTCAGGCGCTTCCTGCTTTGCCAGAAGACTGACGTCTGTGCGTGGATTAATAGGTGCTCCATCCGTCCGAATTGAAATATTACCAGGCACAGTTACGCATTTCACTTACGCCTGCATAGACCCCGAGTTCGTGTGAGAGTGTTTCGTATTGGCGTGGGTTACGAGCTTCTGCGAGAAGGCTCATTATTAGCGTGTGGGGTCGCTTGCAAGAGCCGGGATCAGCCATATTAGCGGCGACGACGCGGTGGTCACGCCGGGTGCATCGCTGACGTTTGCTCCCGAGAGAGACCGTGCACGGCGCTCGCCGTAACCGCGTGTGACGCACCGCAGTGTCGTTCGTGACTGAGCGTGCACGCTCGGCGCCGCCGCCGCCACCGCCGTGGGCAGCCTGAATAGCCGGCGCTTGTGGTGAGTGCGGAAACGCTGTTTTTTTTTCCCCTCTCGTCTTTCAGCCGTGTGGCCTCGCGGAGTTGGGTTTTCTTATTTTACCCGGAGACTTAATTGCAGTGAGAGCGTAATAAGAAAGGGTGGTTTTGTGACGGTGGGCAGGGTTCACTTTAGGTGAAGGCGGTTGTCGTGACTGTGAATATATTTTTTTATATATATACACGAGGAGGGAACAATTACAGCGGTTTGCTGTTAGAGGTACTTACCCGTTTGTTATAACCAGTACAGTATTGGCATGTGTGTGTTTTTCTTAGCCGGTCAAGGAAAACACTGCTTGGTTTAATAAAACCTACAGTTGTTACAATAGTTTTTTTTTATCCTCATGACCGTTAACTAAAATAAAAAAAATGCAGCAAAATAGACGATCACGGGTTTGCCGCACGTCTACATCAACACACACACAACATGTTTACCTGTTAACTGTGAAACGAAGGGAGCTGCCCCAGTGGTTTCTACGTATGCATGTTTAACTTCTTCCACACCGTCCGTAGTCAACCGTGCTAATTGGAGGTGCGATATGGTGGTTAGTAGCACACTGGACAATCCATAATTCCACCGTTCAACTCCATCTCTCGGCGTAGCAGTGAAAACAATTGGCTGTGATTCTGAAATCCGTGCATTCATCATGACTAACATTCCCCTGGCAGCAGTTACCCATTCCTGATTGTCGGAAACCGGTAATCAATGGTGAAAATGGTTGCCGGTTTACCGGTTTCAGTTCAACAACCCTAATGAAACCCACACATGATTTGTATCGTGCCGCTGGTTAGGGTGGGGGGATTGAGAGAGGATGCGTTGTGAATGGTGAAACGTCTGACACAAATACATAGATCCCCAGTGTAGCCTTAACAGACTGTTGGGGAAAGTGCTGTTAGTGGCCAGCACCACGCCCGACCGCTTTTGTCTCCCCAGTGGCGTTGTTTATTACACACCGCACTAAGTACTAATTTGAGGCTGAGTCGACCTAGGAGAGGTGTTGGCCTTGAGCGGGAATCGAACTCGGGTCACCGGGTTCATAACGCAGCACTCTTAACCGCTACACTACCGCTCTCCACAACTTCTGATACACACATACACGCATTTGCACAGTACGTGTGGTGATATGTTGTGAATATTACTCTATGTATGTGGGGGTACGCAGATGAGCTATTTCAAGTCAGGGGAACCCCACCCCCTAGGAAATGTGTCAGGCTCCCCGTGACCAAATAATTTCAACGATAAATGTGACTTTAACTTCGCCTTAAGCAGCCACGCCTGATGATAGGTTGTGAAAACCCCGGCTGGGAGGTTTCTGCTCCGAACCCTGTAGACTGCAGATGGAAACATGGAGAAGTTTTCTAATCCGCTACGGTTTGATTGATAGATTTTTAGAAACCTTATTGGGCCCTTGGCGTTTTTGGCTGGGTAGTTTTGTCTGATGTTTGAGGCCGAGGTGCATTCCGTCGGAATATGCGATGCCTCGCTTTTGTGTGGTCACCCAGAGTGCGTTGCGCGCATTGGGAGTGCATGCGGGTCGTCTCGCGTGGCCGTGTGGCCATGTTGAGTGTGTGGTGTGACTGTCGAGTGTGTAGGGTGTGGCCACTTGGAGGGTGCGGTGTGGCTGTGAGTGCGTGTGTGTGTGTATTCTTTGTTGAATGTGTGTGGTCTGGACATGTGGAGTGTATGTGATGTGAGTGCGTGGTATGGAGACGGCGTAGTATGGCTGTGTTGAGTGCGTGCGTGTATTCTTTGTTGAATGTGTGTGGTCTGGACATGTGGAGTGTATGTGGCTGTGTTGAGTGTGTGTTGTGGGGCGTTTTGAGTATGTGTGTTGTAGCTTTGTTGATTGTGGGGTGTGGCCAAGTTTGGTGCGGCTGTGTTGATGTGTGGTTTAGTCATGTTGAGTGTCAATCTAGATTTGATCATCTAGTAGAGCATGTTGAATGTGTCTGTGTCGAGTGTGTGTGGTGTTGCTTTGTTAAATGTGTAGAGTGTGGCCATGTCGAATGTTTGAAGTTTGTCAGCGCATTCATATCGTACAGAATGTTTAATGTGTACATGTGGATTCCGTGTTGTGTTTACAGTGATTTTGGTGCGCTTGTGTGTATTGTATGTGGCCATGTTCAGTGAGTGTGGTGCGTGTGTATTGAGTGCGGGAAGTCGTTTTGAAGGTGTGACTGTGTGTTCAATGTGTGTTCGTGTCGAGTGCATCACTGTTTTGAATCTACATCGTCTTTGTGTTGAATGTGCATGGTGTGTGTTTGTGTGTGTTAAGTGTTTGGTGAGTGTGTGGCGTCCCTGGCCATGGCTCGGCTGCGTTGCTGTGAGACCACTGCGTGTGCGTCACCCATTGGGGCCGTGTGAACGCAGTCGGCAAGCAGCCACGTAAAAATGCTCGTGCCGTGACTGCGGAGATGGCTGCTCTGGCCTGGCCCTGTCGCCCCGCGTTTGTGAACCGAGCCTGTGACTTGAATCCTTGGCATGCAGGCAATGGTATTCATTGCTGACCTGCTCAGGCGCACGGATCACACTAATCGGAAGCAAAGCATTGCTTATTTATGCGTTTCTTGGGAAGCCTTTTTAAATCCTTTATGGGGTAGCTGCCCACAGCTCGTTAATGAATACCGGGCAGGTGCACCTTGGCTTTTGCACGTTACACTGTACGGTGTCGCACTGTACGATGAGTGGCTGCTGTCGTTTGCTGGTAGTGAGTAAACAAGCCCCACGTTACATAAAGTAGGTCACGGTGGGATTGGATAATCGGAAGTGCTTGTGTCTTTTCCTGGTAGCTGTGTGGCAGATGTGTGCACCTATAAATAGGCTGCCCTTTGTTGTTTCTGGAAAACAGACATTTGCAATTTGGTGTGAGTGCCTGCAGAACGACAGCCTGCATCTTGCGCGATACCCCGTACGTTGCGTCAATAATTATCATGTGCACGTCATTTATCCGTCAAGGAAAGCATCACAAAGTCTTAAAGCTCTCTTTCAGCTGGGTCCCGCATTTTTGACTTTTGGCCAGTTTCTTTTTAAGGTGCGTTGGCACCTTGGCTTCATACAGAATATGCTCTGTGGGGGACTAAAGGCATGAGGAATTCTACACTCATGCAATGATTTGTGACAGATTTAATCTATTCTGTATTTCTAAGTAACCTGGAGTTGAGCCAATGACTAAATAACCTTGGATGCACCAGATCTCGTCAGGTATCTGAAGCTAAGCAGGTTTGAGCCTGGGTGGTGCTTGGATGGGTGGCCACAGGTGTTATAGGTTGTGGGGCTGTGCCATCAACAGAGGGCATTGCTACATAATCTGTTCTATTTTACGAGGCTCCATCGTATATGCTAGGCCTTCAACCCTCACTGACCAGCGTGGTGAAGTATGGTCATTAACCTCCACGACCCACGTGGAGTTGAGGAGGCCCTTATCCAGCGTGTATTTATTTATGATTATTATAACGGTTCTCCCAGGAAAGTCTCAAGACGTTTTTCCAGGAGGGATTGATAAAAGGGCTGTACATGTATGGGTGGATTGTGCGTTTTTTGTCTAAATCATCAACATTTCACACTGCGAGCTTTGCCAGCTGCAGTGTGTAGGGAGCTGGCTGACCCGTGTCCGCATGGTGCGTGCGATCGTTTTCCCGTACGGGTGTTTCAGTGTCGCCGTTTTGCGTTGGAGTGTGTCCATTTGCGAGGCCGCTCGTGGCAGTGGCACGCGGTGGCGGAATTTGACATAGCGGCGTGAGCATCGATCACCGACGGATTATAGAACGCACTCATTTCACTTGGCTTACCATCACCGTGCATCGTTGGAAGTTTAGTCACTTGCTATCCTGTCCCGTTGTTTCTTGAACCGTGATGTGCATTGCGGGGGATTTGTAAGGCATCGTGGGTAGCAGAGATGGTCGTGGTTCTACCTCCCCGGGGGAGAGTCACACTCGCGAGTAGTCCGTGAGCCACGGGGTTGATCGGTACTGCCTGGGCTGGAGAATGGCACGAGTATACACCACTCATGGGTCCCGTGCGGTTGTATTGCTCCCCCCCACTCCAGGTGCCACCACAGAGGAGGAGGAGCGGGTGGTGAGCTGCTTCGCCGTGCGCATAGGGGGGGTGGGCTCTCGTGCAAACACCTTTGGCCACCTCGACTTGGTGGCTGAGCGTGCTAGCACCCGGCCCACTACCCCCACCCCCGGCACGGCCCCGGCACAAGGCGCTTTCCAAGCAGTCATGTCGGGCTCGGCTTTTCCTCCGTCGCAAGCTGGCTTCGCCGCTGAGCCCGGACGCTACCCCACCGCCTCCCTCCAGTATGGATACCAAGCAACGCGGCAGCCACAGGTGTGTGACCTCGCGTGGGCAGTGTCGCCCTTCTCCTTCCTCCACCCACCCGTTCCTCCCGCGCTTTTCGGCTTGTCGCCACGTTTCGGCATCCTCACCTGCAGACCGTGCCCAGCGCGCGATTGTGCGAATACGGATCAGCCCGTCAACCTCACCGCCGTGAACCACTGGGGACTTTAAAAGTGTATCTGAGGCATTGAAGCTGTCTGCCTATCAACGGAAGCACTTTCACTGAGCAACTGATTGGGACGGAGGCTTATAAGTTGCTATTCATCCAGTCATGCGGAGAGAGAAGTGTTCTCACGTGTGGCACTTTAGTGAAGCTGTACGCGATATTTTGTCACCTCTTCTACATGTTCTTGCTGTTGTTGACACCAGGTTCCTGGTGTTTGTTGCTGTTGTTGACGGGTGAGGAGATGTATGTTGCCATGATGACGCTACGCTACCGTGCATGTACACCTCTTGTTCTCTGCGTCTGTGCTACGCATGTACAGGAGTACAGCGCTGCTGATTACCGGGTGCACGCTCAGGATTTCGGCTCGCCACAACAGAGACGGCGGCCGTCCCTCCTCACCGAGTACCAACCGAGCGGAGAGAGGTGCGGGGGCTCGGTGGGGCGGAGAGGTGGGGGGGCATAACAATCTTTCAAAGGGGGTGCATCTGTACTGGGGGACCCAAGCGCAGGGAGGCTCCCAAAAATTACCAAAATTTTTTTTTCTATCAAGTGATCATTTGGTGCATAAATACAGCATCAGTGTAAACAACGCACAGGGATCAACCTGAGATTGGTTTCCCAATGAATGAATGCACCTGATGAACAAAGAGCAAATGAATATGGTGAATAATTGAGTATAAGACTGTTAAATACAAGTTAATTATGGCGATAGTGGATGGAAAGGGTTGGGGGCCCCTGGCCAACATTATACTGTAACTGGCCCCAAATATGTCTCGATGGCCCTGGTCATAATACTTGCGTTGAATCGTGCGTGTGAGAATTGATTAATTTGTGCAAATGACACGCTCTTGTTACCGTAAGGACAGGGTTCTGCAGCTGGCACCCTGTGAGCCAGATGTGGCCTTGAAGGAGGGCTTTGGGATTCGCCCGCTGAGCTATAGTTTACTGAGAGATAGAGCTCGCAGAAACAGAAATGTAAATTTTGGAAATGGGAGGTAAACGAAATGGAAATGAGAGAGCTGCAGAGAAGCCATGATGACAAGTGAGGTAAACAGGAAAGAGAGAGAGGACAGACCTGGAAATCACGTGTACAGATGTTGAGACCATGCGACTTCATAACATCTGTCCATGTTACATGTGATGTCACGTGACCCACCAGCAGACAGGCCATGTGAGGTTATGTGGCTCGCCAACAAATATAGTAAGGAACCCTGCATTAGGATAACAAAATGAATGTGGCACAACAACGAAGACGGGTCAAACGGGGACAGGATGAACAAGATGAAACAGAATCAATTCACTTGATGATACTCAAAATGTGACATTTTAATGATTCACCACATGAATAGGTCTGGCATTGCTGGAGGCTGCATGTCTTGTTGGCACGCTTTCAATCATTCGTCCCTCTACTTTCCTATGGATGGACTCAAGGGAAAGTGAATGTGTATTCTGGTACTTGCCGCTGTTTCATCATCTTGGTGATGCTCACGTTACGTGTGTGTGTGTGTGCGCGTGTCATGCAGTGGCTTTCCTCCCTACACTAGTGGGGAGCAGTAGTGTAGCGGTTAACGTGCTGCACTACGAATCCAGCGACCGGAGTTCGATTCCCGCTCACGGCCAAGAATGACGATTATCTGAACCAGTCCTGGACCTCCCCTAGGTCGACTCAGCCTCAAATTAGTACCTGGTGTGGTGTGTAAACATCGTCACTGGAGTGTGGTGTAGTGCTGGTCACCCACCCCCTCGTGTGCCGTGCTGGCATTCATAGGTGCTCGCTAACGGGACTTGCCCCAACAGTATGTTAAGGCCATACGGGGGGGATCTTTGTCTTTGTTTTTTGCAGCGGCAGGCCTCCCTACGCTGGCCAGGTCGGCACTGTGCAGGACACCGACAACCTCGACATGAAGAGGCCTCGGCTGGAGCAGCCGCAAGGCCAGGAGGCGGCCATGCAGCGCAGCACGCTGCTGCCCCCGACGCAGCCCGCGCTCGACGGAACGGCCACCAGCGTCGTCAGGAAGGTGAGGGGCATCGTCATTGAGGCGTGCGGGGAAACTGAGAGTACCGACAAGCGAGGGTTGTCTTGCGCCCGAGGTTGCGGGGGCACAGAGGCCTTTCAAATCTTAAATCCAGCCATGTAGGGCAGGGCCTGGGAACCTTTTTCTGACTGAGGGCCGAATAGGGCTTTCACGTACCTTTGCGGGCCTCGCATGAACGCACAGCTTATTATTTAAAATAACGTGAAAAATAATTAGCCCTCACCCTTACAGGTGATTTAGCGTGCAAACGTTATAAACGCAATGTTGCTAGGTTAAAGTATTCCTCTCCTTGTACCCGATTTGTGCGGCACAGATGCAGTAATTGATAAATATTGTTCGCGACCTATTTAAATGTTGTAGGCCTCATTTGGGAAGTGAGGTTGAGGGTCTTTTTTGGCCCATGGACCATAGATTCCCCACACTGGTTATAGAGAGATACCTTTAGCTGTAAGGAACGGTGAGGCTCACTTTGAGAAGTAATTACATTTTCAACCCTTTGTCAATCTACTGCTGGATGAAGGCCTTCTCGTGCCGATTCGGTCATGGGGTTGGTTTGACCATCTCCGCATTGAGCCGTGTGGGGAGGTGAAGTAGTTGGCGGGGGGGGGGTGAGAGAGGGCCAGGGCTGGTTCTCATATCACTCACTGGTGACGTTAGCCATGGCAGGGATTGCAGCTCTTGCCGAGTTCACGTCGCAACGTGCTACTCTCTGGACCTCCAGTGGTTAGCGCTGTGCTCTATAATATCGTAGTTTCTCTCGCCGTTGAGGTATTTTTGTAATTTCTCTGAAATGTTCACAACAGAGAAATTGCACTGAAGACTGAAATGTCAATTTTCTAAATTCAGAGGTGCCGGGTGCACATAAAATATTGAAACGTGCAGCATGTGATATCATCCGGTTTTAAACTTTTAAAACGAAATTCGACACAGACAGTTTTGAATCGTTAACTTTTTTAAGTTTACATTTTCCATGACTGCTGGATATTACTGCTAAAGAAAATCCCCCAGTGTGGTTCTTTTGATCTTGCAAAATTCATCTGACTTCTCGTGAACCTGGCTTTTGGTGGAACATCACAACGTATCAGTGTCATTCAGAGTTGCTTTTGGGGAAAATGAGAATAATGTGTCAGTGCTTTTGATGTGAAGCAGCCATGCCCCACGTATGTTCCTAATATCCCAGTAAAAGCATGATTCATCAGTTAAAAGAGGACAAATACTGTACATACAGAAACAACTCTTGTGGTTTTATTATCTGTGATTCCTAACATCTGCCAGATGTGTCCGATCCACGTTTATTCCCCTTAACTGAGATTTCACAAATAAGGGAAGGACTCGTGTAATGATACCAAAATCTTATCGCGATGGACGGTCTGCAGAGCAAGGATGTGGATAGCGAGGTACTAAATTAATATTATCCATGGTTATTTGCAGATAATAAAAATGTATGATGATGATGGGTGGTTGTGATGACGACGATGGATGAAGATGATAGTCATCGCTGCCTTTGGCAATTAAAAAACCGCTGCTGCTGCCAGTCGCTGGTTCAATGGTGGAGCCAGGATTTTCAGGTAGGGGGGGCAACCCCTCCAGCAATGAAAAATGATAGAGGAGTTGTTAGTAAGTAAGGAGTTGTTAGTAAGTAAGGAGTTGTTAGTAAGTAAGAACTTGTCCCTTGCTTTTTATTCGACGCGTGTGCGGCGATCGCAGCCATCGATCGAGGGTCGAATTCGAACCCCGTTGTGTGATCGGCATCGCGCTCGCTGAAGGTGAATGGCTCCAGGGAAGTCGTGTACTGTATACGCAACTGCGCACAATTCTGTGAGTCACTTATAACTGCTTTGCCGTTACTTATTGCCAATTATGGACTCGGACTATTGTCCTTTCATCTCATAGAGTCCCTGGCACATAATAATATGCTACACAGTGGCAGTGGGGGTCGCAAAATGCCGATTTATCTTCATATATATAAAAGGCAAAGTTGTGAATATGTGTCTGTTTAAAATGTTTAGCGTACTTCCCGACATGCAAGAAACTTTAAATTTGCCACGTGGGTACTTTCCAGACTGTACACCATGCAAAAATTATAAAAATAAATTGTTTTTTAGGGGGGGTGGAGCTCAATAATGCATATATTTCTTGCACGGCAAGTGAGCTGTGACGTCAAATCTGTCACGTGACCCTCGCTTGTGGAAGCGTAACGCATTGTAGTGTAGCGGTTAGCGCGCCATGCTATGAACCCAGCGACCCGAGTTCGATTCCCGCTCACGGCCACCACCGATGACGATTATTTTAACCGGTTCTGGGCCTCCCCTAAGTCGACTCAGCCTCAAACGAGTAACTGCTGTGGTGTGTCAATATCGCCACTGGGGAGACAAAGGCGGCCGGGCGTGCTGCTGGCCACCCACCCCCTTGTTACTAATAAACCCCGATCGAAATCCCAAATTTCGATTGGATCATTGGGGGGGGGGGGGGGGCACGTGCCACCCCACCCCCCCCCACTTCCTCCGCCAGTGCCGCAGTTGGTGATTGACGGTGATAAGGATAAAGGTCGCTGCTCGGCTCTTGCCTTGAGGTTGTTCTGGGCTGAGGGCTACGTACTTCGCAGTAGAGGGCATTCCAGCAATATACATTGCTGTATTGTGCCCCAATGGCACATGGTGTGGGGTATCCTTCATCCAGCAGTGGATTGTTAAAGGGTGGGCAATGTGTAACATATAAATATATTGACCATCAACCACCCACACTGACCAGCGTGGTGAAGTATGGTCAATCAATCCCCATGACTGACACTGCTTGGGAGAGGTCTTAATCAAGCAGTGGAGCCTGAAGCTACGAAGCCGGCGAGTTTGGATGATCACCGCCGGCGCTCGCAAGACAAGACTGATTAAACTCAAATTAATTTAAAATATAATTTAAAACTTAAACAAAATAAAAATCTGAAACACGTTCTATTTTTTTGTTTGCAGTGGAGCACATGGTGACTTGTCCAACACGTTGAACCACAGGAGTATTGTGCGGAGTGAAACAAATCAGAGATGGTTATTTATTTTATTATGTGATGCATGTAGAAACGCTTCACCCATTAAATTCATTCTCATGGATACGGTACGTGCATCGAGTTGTGCTTGTACGAATGCATTATTTTATGAACATTATACGTCAACGTTGCACGCTTGCGAATGGAGCGATTGAGACCGTACAAACATTTAATTGTGTTGCGTTGGGGATGGTGGCGAAGTATGGGTGGGGGCGAACCACTACTGACATACTGCCTGGGCTTGATGTCATCTGGGTTTGTCCACATCAACGACCCAGAAAAAATCTGCATCTGGCATATACCGCATTCATTTTATGTCTCACTGTGGCTACTCGGTCACATGCCACCTACTCTAGTCTTCCTGCTTCCTGGAAAATATTCATTGATAAATGAATTCCTCACTGCTGCGCATACACCTCGCAACTGCTAATGCTGCAGGAGAAGTTACCGTCTGTGCCAGTGCGGAACCTGACCTGGACGGGTGCGCGCAATGTCTTGTTCCCCCCTTCCCCGTGCTCCTCCGTCAGGAGGCGCTGTTCACCGGGAAGGTTGAGCCGGTCTCTCCGCCAGCAGCCCCGATGGCACTCACGGAGGACGCGGACACTTCCCCGTCCAAGCTCTCCAAGGAGGAGCTGCTGCAGAGCATGGACCGCGTGGACCGCGAGATCGCCAAGGTGGAGCAGCAGATCGCCAAGCTGCGCAAGAAGCAGGTGCGTGGGCGAGAGGAGACGGCGCGGGAAGCCGTGCTGTCGCACGGTAAATCCGACATGCGCTGGGCACTGGTGACGTAGCTCGTGAGTGTGCCGGAAATGCAACTGCAGTGGCGTCCACGGCCCGAGAGGGCCTCGGTGCCAGGCTACGAAGAGGGGCCAACCACACCACTGCTGGGCATCACTATAATGGGCAATGCAAGCTCCCAGCCTCTGGGTTTTTTTTTCTCCCAGTTATATTCCCGTTGTGTGCACTGTCATGTTTACATGTGGAATTCTTACTGCGAGAAGTGCACCACACTGTTGTAATATGATGACCCCAGAAGAGGATGTCACCATAGGCACTTAACAGGCCTCTATATCGTCATTAGCAGTTTCAGAAGTAGCACTTCGATGTCTGCTTCTGTGGGCTGTAACATGGAAGATGGTTGCACTGCTCTGCGAGAGATGAAAATGTATTATTTGTCTCGTGATTTGATGCTGATAGCAAACAAGGGATAACATTTGGGGAAAAGACTGAAAACAAATCTTAAAACGTAATATGCAATCTCGCATGTTTGTTGTGGAGGTTTGCAGTTTGATTCTGTAGGTCTTACCTGTTATTACTGCCGGTGTATTAACCATAACACGCGCCGTTTGCTTGATTGTGGACGTTAAAGATCCCGTGACGTCATTCGAAGTAGGCCATTGTGGACCGTCGACACGGTCCAAATTCAGGAAATTCTAAACATTACCCACAATTTACTCGATTTTTATTACAGATACAGTGAGGGAAAAAAGTATTTGATCCCCTGCTGATTTTGTACGTTTGCCCACTGACAATGAAATGATCAGTCTATAATTTTAATGGTAGGTTTATTTGAACAGTGAGAGACAGAATAACAACAAAAAAATCCAGAAAAACGCATGTCAAAAATATTATAAATTGATTTGCATTTTAATGAGGGAAATAAGTATTTGACCCCTCTGCAAAACATGACTTAGTACTTGGTGGCAAAACCCTTGTTGGCAATCACAGAGGTCAGACGTTTTTTGTAGTTGGCCACCAGGTTTGCACACATCTCAGGATGGATTTTGCCCCACTCGTCTTTGCAGATCTTCTCCAAGTCATTAAGGTTTCGAGGCTGACGTTTGGCAACTCGAACCTTCAGCTCCCTCCACAGATTTTCTATGGGATTAAGGTTTGGAGACTGGCTAGGCCATTCCAAGACCTTAATGTGTTTCTTCTTGAGCCACTTCTTTGTTGCCTTGGCCGTGTGTTTTGGGTCATTGTCATGCTGGAATACCCATCCACGACCCATTTTCAATGCCCTGGCTGAGGGAAGGAGGTTCTCACCCAAGATTTGACGGTACATGGCCCCGTCCATCGTCCCTTTGATGCGGTGAAGTTGTCCTGTCCCCTTAGCAGAAAAATACCCCCAAAGCATAATGTTTCCACCTCCATGTTTGACGGTGGGGATGGTGTTCTTGGGGTCATAGGCAGCATTCCTCCTCCTCCAAACACGGCGAGTTGAGTTGATGCCAAAGAGCTCCATTTTGGTCTCATCTGACCACAACACTTTCACCCAGTTGTCCTCTGAATCATTCAGATGTTCATTGGCAAACTTCAGACGGGCATGTATTGTGCTTTCTTGAGCAGGGAGACCTTGCAGGCGCTGCAGAATTTCAGTCCTTCACGGCGTAGTGTGTTACCAATTGTTTTCTTGGTGACTATGGTCCCAGCTGCCTTGAGATCATTGACAAGATCTTCCCGTGTAGTTTTGGGCTGATTCCTCACCGTTCTCATCATCATTGCAACTCCACGAGGTGAGATCTTGCATGGAGCCCCAGGCCGAGGGAGATTGACAGTTATTTTGTGTTTCTTCCATTTGCGAATAATCGCACCAACTGTTGTCACCTTCTCACCAAGCTGCTTGGCAATGGTCTTGTAGCCCATTCCAGCCTTGTGTACGTCTACAATCTTGTCCCTGACATCCTTGGAGAGCTCTTTGGTCTTGGCCATGGTGGAGAGTTTGGAATCTGATTGATTGCTTCTGTGGACAGGTGTCTTTTATACAGGTAACAAGCTGAGATTAGGAGCACTCCCTTTAAGAGTGTGCTCCTAATCTCAGCTCGTTACCTGTATAAAAGACACCTGGGAGCCAGAAATCTTTCTGATTGAGAGGGGGTCAAATATTTATTTCCCTCATTAAAATGCAAATCAATTTATAACAGTTTTTTTCATGCGTTTTTCTTGATGTTTTTGTTGTTATTCTGTCTCTCACTGTTCAAATAAACCTAACATTAAAATTATAGACTGATCATTTCTTTGTCAGTGGGTAAACATACAAAATCAGCAGGGGATCAAATACTTTTTTCCCTCACTCTAGTAACATCGCCCCCTATTGGGAAGCGACTGCAGGCTATGTCTGCGAAACATAGCGCCTTTTGATAATTTTACTGTTTATATAAGTGTTCGGCGACTTATGTGCGTGTCCTGGGCGCGTGTGTGGATCACAGCAACAGCTGGAGGAGGAGGCGGCAAAGTCTCCCGAGCCGGAGAAGCCCGTGTCTCCTCCGCCCATGGAGTCGAAGCACCGCAGCATCGTGCAGATCATCTACGACGAGAACCGCGTACGTAAAACGTTCGGCCACAGCCTCTGCTCGGGGACTCGTCGATCATTCTCCCGCATTCGCTTGTTCGACGCTTAGATTGATGCCCATGCTCAGGGCGCGTGGATTGAGTGGTACGTATGCAAAGCAGTCGTGTTTGGTTCATGACACAGTTGTCTTTCTGCCTCTAAAAATGCATTCTCTATGCACTTTATTTTACTGAAGGCTAATTCATGTTTGGGACAAATGAGACATTGTTAAACGATATAGACGGTACGAACAAGACTGGCGACGCACGTGTGTATGTTGAACTTTTTTCGCAGCGTACGTAGCCGACCATGCTAATCGGAGGTGTGGTACCGGCAGTACAAATTAAACGGTTGAAATGCTACGAATGAGACAAAAGGGACAAATCACTTTCCCCCAGCCATATGTGTCATTGTTTCCCAGCCCTTGTTCAATCTTGTGATCCCAATTGAATAATTTGTGGCATACACAATGGCCACATCGTTTCGAATGTTGCCATGGGATCTTTGATGGCCACTGAAGCAGACGGCGCATTTGTGTGGTTACTACACCTGAACCTTTGCGACCCCGCGACTGCTGGTCCATGTCACCGTCCGCGTTGCAAACGCATTGTTTGCCAGCTCTGAGCGTAGTGTCTTGCCCGTGGTTTCACATTGATACGCGTATCCCTGTAGTGTGGCAAAAAGGACTTTTTGATGCTGGTAAAACCTGTGTAGATGCTCGGGTATGAATCGAGTTACTCTGAGCAACTGCTTTGTGTTTCCATGGCTCATTATCTGCGACTTGTAGCTTTCACTCACTGGGCTCTTGCTTGTAGCCGAGTGCCGATTGGGAAGGTGGCCCTGTGCACATTGCTCAGGGTGATTTGTCTGAAGTGTTTGGAATTTCATTGGACAGGTCGTGGTGGGGCAGTTGTAATTCACGCGTTGTGCCCTCTGCTTACACCACCAGCCAGTTGTAAGCACCAGTCAGTGATTATTTCCCCCCCCCCCCCCCAATTGAATTGCACCAAGTGTTACAGAAAATAACGTCGTACATTCCTGCAGATGTGGCTTTTTTACACGGAGGTGCCTCCCATTGTCAGCGTTATTATTTGATGTTGTATTGTGTTTGACCCACACAGTGCAACCACTGCTGTGTACGTGAGCTGTCATGTTCGAGCTGTAGTGTGCATGAGCAGTGGTGCGTGCCAGCCGTGTTGTACAATTGTCATGTTGTATCGTGTGTGAGCCGCATGCTGTGTCAGTGTTGCCGTGTGTGAGCTTTGTGGTGTGGAGTCGGTGATCGGTGCTGTGTGTGTGAGTGAGTAGTACATTGTGCGAGCACTGACGTGCTGTGTGGTGGTGTGTCAGCACTGTGGTGCGAGTGATGTAATGCATGTGTGTTGGTGTAAGTTGTGTGTAGTGTAAGTAGTGTGTGTGAGCAATGTGGTGTGTGAGTATTGAGGTGTGAATAGTGTGGTGTGTGAGTATTGTGGGGTCTGTGAGTGGTGTGGTCATGTGGGTATGTGAGCTGTTCGGTGTGTGACCAGCATGGTGAGTGCCATGTTGCCATGGTTACTGTGGCGCGTGTGGGTGTGTGTTCACTGCAATTATTCCTGTGGGTGGTTCACATTTTTTCGATTTTGGCTTTATTTGTGAGTTCTTGATTCACCAGCTGCTGCTTGTGATGCGCAACTTTTTCATTCCAAGCTGAGGAAACTTCCCAATATTCACCTAGGGCGACCATTTTCCAAAATTTAATTAAGCTGCCCTGAATCAGCATTGTCTTTCTCTATGTTAATTAAAATCATCTCGACTTCCTGCTTTTACGATCAAATGAGTAGAGAGATTTTCGCTTGTTCGTTGGTGGTCTGTACCAGGAGTTGGCCGTCGATGTGGAATGATTAAGTGTGCGCCTCAGTGGGAGTGCGTTGGGTTTGTGCGGAGCTTGCAGAGTGGGCGTTGGGCCCTGGGCGACCGGCTGGCCGGCACTGCCACTGGCTCGGCTGGGAAGAGTGTTGCCCACTCACGGCTCCGTTAGCACGTGACCTTGGCGTGGGGAGGGCTTTGCGCGACCGCCCAGAATCGTCACAATGCAGAGTCGCGATCGTTTTCAGCCTTTTCGCGAATTTGGCGCCTCTAGTGGAGAGGGAGAGGGCACAAATCAGTGCATTATTTGTAGGTTAAAGGAATACTTTGTACGTTCACAGTGCATGCATAAAATCGCAACAATTGCTTCTTGTGCATTATATATATTTAGTGAAATGAAGTGACCCTTGCAACCACTAGAGGAGCTATATTTATAGGAATGGTTAAAGAGAACAAATTATAATTATTCTTGATGTGAATCGTGGCTGTGGAATGGGCTATTACATGTGTACAGAACAACCTTGTAATTAGCCACGATTGATCCGCCGGGTTTAAGCGCAGGTCTTAGAACTCATGGGGGAAAGGTGAATCATGTTATTTGCACACCGCAACCTTCATCCGCTGGTCATGGTTAACTGTTGCCGCTGCTGCTACTGCTTCCCCCCCACATTTACAAACCCAGGCGACGTTTACAAACATGGGTGTGTCTACCAGAGCCGCTACAGGCTATATTACACATGCATCAGTGATCATGCATGAGTGTAAATGGATTACTTGTGTAGAGAAGAGCCCCGCTGTGAGGTGACGTTAACAATATTCTGATGCTCGAGACCAGGGTTAACTTCCCAATTACAACCGACAACCGCACCCCCCCCTACTAACCTCCCCATACGATCGTCTACCACTCATGGCCGGCGCAGCACTCATGCCTGGGCTCAGTCAGCAACGTCATCGGAGCGTGCAAAACATGTTCTTTCCAGGAAACCTTTCATTAAAGCTGGGAATCCAGCAGGAGAGGTTGCTTAGCCGCCCTTCCGCGACGCATTCGAGCTGCAGGAGTGAGCGGGTGCCGGTTCAGTTTTGCGCGACGGGCACGTACAAATGCATAGACTGCGATTAAAGCAAGAGAAGATTTTGCGACGAGCACAGTTTACTGAGGAACAGTGGTTGGAGATTTCCAATTTTTTCGTGAAAATATTGTTAACGTTATTTTTGGAGGAAAAACCAGTGGGGGGGGGGAGTGGGGTGTGTTTGCTGTTAAATAATCGATGATTGTGTAAAGCGATGCGCAGTCGACTTTTGTGCTGATACCGCTGCACTTTGTTTCATTTGCAGAAAAAGGCAGAAGCTGCTCACAAGATCCTTGAGGGCCTGGGACCGAAGCTCGAGCTGGTAAGCGCGCGGCGTCTCTTGCGCGGGAAGCCGCTGTCCCCTCGATCCCCAGGAATGAAAGGTGGACGCGCCATTCACGATGCACGAGTCTTATCCCGCCGTCGCTGGGTTTCGGCGCGGCCAGATGTGACCGTTGCACAACGTACACTCGCGCCCAGAGATTGCATCAAACACGAGAGCCGTGTTTTGTGCGATCTGAAGTGTGGTGGAGCTCGTGTTTTTGTATAGCAGGGAAGAACCGCCACGCGCTCCTACCACCTTCGTGATCTGTTGCTGGGAACATAGTTTCTGCCTTGCATCGATCATCTTATTACGATGATCGATAAGGTGATCGATTGGGCCAGAGAGAGTGAAGGCAGCCGTAAAAAGTAGCCCCCGAGATGCTTGCGTTTTTGATGAGAAGCCTCATTAGCGTCGGGCGGAATGCGGGCGGTTAGCCGTCATCCCAGTCCATCTCGCTCTGGCTCTTGCTCCCTCCTTGAGGTTTGAAGTGAGTTTTGTTTAAATAGGTGATCACCGAGGAGAGTCTCATTTGCACGCATCACCTAGGTCACCAAAATTACAAAAGCAAGACAAGTAAAACAAAGTACAGCAATGAAGAAAAAATATTCAAACAATGAACAAAAATGCTTTGCACGTGAGGAATAGAAAGTGTTGCAAGCCTAAATAATTTTTCATATCAAGGTTAAATATTAAATTCCCTGCATTGCAATCGGGTGGTGGCGGGTTTAACGACACGATCTAACCCAAAAAAAAACCTGTATTATATGGTGACTGTTGAAACTAATACGCCCACCCGGTTTTCTTTGTACAGCCCCTATACAACCAACCGTCGGATACCGTGGTCTACCATGAAAACATCAAAACGTAAGCGGCCCCGTCAGTTGGCGGTGCTGACTTTGGTGCTGAGCTTGAGAACAGGCACAGGACACAAACCGTGTCATGAATCGTGAATGCTGCTTCATCCAGTTGTGGGTTCTTGTACTCTGTGTGTGTGTGCGTATGGTGGAGAGCGGTAGTGTAGTGGTTAGCACGCTGCGCTACGAAGCCGGCGACCCGAGTGCGATTTCTGCTCAATGGCCAATACCAGTGACGATTATCTGAACGGGTCCTGGGCATCCCCTAGGTCGACTCAGCCGCTAATGAGTACCTGTTGCGGTGTGTAAACATCGCCACTGGGGAAACAAAGGCGGCCGGGCGTGGTGCTGGCCACCCACCCCCTTGTGTGCGCCCCAACAGTCTGCAGTCACGAAAGCTTTAAATCGAAATTTAAGTCTGTTCAGGCTGTACGGGGGATATTTTTTTGTATGGGTACATGTGTACGTATGTGTGTGCATGTATTTTTGTGTGGGGGGCGATATGTAGTGGTTAGTGCGCTGCGCTATGAACTCAGCGACCCAAGTTCATGACCCAAGTTCAATTCCCACTCGCAGCCAACACTATTGACTATTATCTGAACGGCTCCAAGGCTTCCCTTATGTTGACTCTGCCTTTAATATGTACCTGGTGCTATGTGCAAACATCGAAGGCGGTGCAGCATGGTGCTGACCACCGACCCCCTCGCGTACTATGCTGGCCTTTATAGATTCTTGCGAACAGCACTTGCCCCAAACGTCTGTTAAGGCTATATGGGGGATCTTTGTTGCGTATGTTTGTGTGTGGGTTTTTGTGTTTGTGTGTGGGTATGTGTGTGCACCTAGCATGGCACAAACGCCATGATGCCGCCACTTAGTGGCGAGCGGTTGTTGTATATGTGTACGCGTATTTGCGTGCTTTTGTGTAATCGTTTGAAGGGCTGGACCGCTGGACCGTTTCATTGTTCGATCTTTGAGCAGCGTGTGTAATCTCTGCAGGGTAATGTTGTATGAATGATAATGAGATTAGTCCCTATTGAATCCCCACTGAAAATTTGGGTCAGGGATAGTGGGGATAATGTAATTTTTGGATTTGAAAACATTAATAATTGTTATTACTGTTTCCGAAAATTTTGTAAATAGACTAACGTGGGTTTGTAGAGGCAGCTGACGTGCGGGGGACGTAGGCTTCCAGTCATGTTGAGCGCTCGGTGACTCAGCAGTTGTTTTTCCGCGTCGCCCATGGGGTCACATGCCGCACAAATGAGCGCAACGAGACGAGGAGGCCGTGCGGTGACCGCGCTCTGTGGCTGAAGGAGACGTGTGCGACAATGCCTCGTCTTTCCGTTCCAGAAATCAGATAATGAGAAAGAAGCTCATCCTGTACTTCAAGAGGAGGAACCACGCACGAAAGCAGAGGGTGAGTCGAGCGAACGACGGCACGGATTCTTGTGATTATCGGACACCACGATGTCACGCGTGTACCCCGTGTGTCGGCGTATCTTACACCTTCACTGTCGGTTTGAGTTGGGGGCTGCGCGTGGCCCTCAACTAAGCCTGTCTGCCTCGCACCTGAGCATTGCTGGAGCATTGTTTGAATGGCCCTGCTCAATATTATATTCTTGTCCTGATGCTTTCATACCTGCGTGGCTCCTCCTCCAGTCTCCCCACCCCTTCCCTCCAGTTGAAGGGAAGTGGTTCGTATTTTTTAACAAGGTTTAATTAATGTAAACCTGGGTTAGGTTTACTGTCCCAAGCTAAAACAAACGTCACTATTTCCTGCTGGTTTTTTTTTTTTACAAAATTGGTGACCTAAGTGAGAAACGCCGTTGACCACGCGTCTCTCTTTCACATTGACCCGTCGGAGACACCGCTGGTTCCTAGAGTGCCCTGGATGAAAGCGCAAGGCTGCCCTTGCTAAGGGAGCCGCGCGGCCCGGTTGGTGCTGGTTTGGCCCGGTAAGGCTCCTGTGGGAACCTCGGCCGATCACACTTGGCCGGTTCGCTTTCCCGGTGGTCGCAGAAACTTAGCTTGTTTAGAGGTCAATGGCCGTGGCCCCGGGGTCATCGGTAAATGCATCGAATGCGCTAAACCGGGAGCGACCGCTGGACCGCGGGCCGCGGTGTGTGTGCGCAATGCGCGCCCGCAGGAGCAGGAGCTGTGCAAGAGATACGACGAGCTGATGGAGGACTGGGAGAAGAAGGTGGAACGCATCGAGAATAACCCGCGGCGGCGCGCCAAGGAGGCGAAGACGCGCGAGTATTACGAGAAGCAGTTCCCCGAGATCCGCAAACAGCGCGAGCAGCAGGAGCGCTTCCAGAGGTCAGGGGCAGCGCAGCGGAGCCACACACACACGTTCACACGCTGTTACGTTACGTACGTATGTGCACGTACACACGCATGCATACTCGCAGAAACACATTTGTTGCATTCGTTCATTTCGGGGTGCGTTGAAAGATATTTTAATGATTTGAGGGCAGCATTGTTTGCAGCATATGCTATTGTTCTGAGCGCTGGCACGAGAAAGGGAATGCGTTGGAAGTTGTCGGCGTGGCGGGCGCGTGACGAGCCGTGCCGGTGGTGTGCGTGGGATTCTTCACAGGGTCGGCCAGAGGGGTTCGGGTTTGCCTGCGACGGTAGCCCGGAGTGAGCACGAGATGGCCGAGATTATAGACGGGCTGTCAGAGCAAGAGGTAACCATCCTGTCGCGCTGCGCTCAACATGCACGCACGCACACAGGGGACACGAACTGGCGAGTCGCACACAGCACCGTGCATGACCTCAGAGAATTGGTGACGGAGTTGAGTGAACACCGATATCCAGAACGACTGATGCTTAAGGAACCTCCGGGATTTAAACTCGACCACGGAAACAACAGTCCACATTCCGTGAAATTTTTGCATCTCAAAGCAGACCCACCCACAACCTCATGAGCGAACATCCGAAGCAAGCCCCCAGCGTGCGATAGTGCAACACCGAGCAGACCGATGGAATGCAGTTTTTTGGTGTCCTATTGGACCGTTTCTCCAGACACTGGGCAGTAGATAGGGGGCATTTCCATCTTACAGAGAGAGGCAGTCATAGGAAACAAGGAAGGTCTTCAGCTTGGACTGAACAGGGGTGGGAAGTTGACACCACGTGTGGCAAGGGACTTCCTGACTGCGTGGGCAGCAGAGGAGAATGAGCGAATCCACCATGCAGGACAGGTGAGGCTGCTGGCTGCATTGGTCATCATGAAAGGAAATTTCAGTTTTTGGGGACTGCAATTTGTCCTGTCAAAAATAGACAAAGGTATTCAAATGGTGAGTTATTATCATCGTAACACGTCGCTATTGGGGGGGGCCGGCATGTGTCGTAGTAATTTGCACGTGTCTTGGTGAACGACGCTTAGTAAGCGACGGTGCGCGTGTCCGGCGTGCGCGCTCGTCTAGAACAACGAGAAGCAGATGCGCCAGCTGGCGGTGATCCCGCCCATGCTGTACGACACGGAGCAGCGGCGCGTCAAGTTCATCAACCGCAACGGCCTCATTGAGGACCCCGTGAAGTTGTACCGCGACCGTCAGCTCCTCAACGTGTGGTCCGACCATGAGAAGGAGCTCTTCAAAGAGAAGCAAGCGCCCCTCGCCTCTAGAACCACCGCACCATCGCACCGCTGCACCATGGCGACAATGAGTCGTAACCTTCGATTGAGGTTACATCCTTTGCTGGGTAATGTTGATTTTTTTTGTCTCGTTTTTTTCTCTCCGAATATAGGTTCATTCAGCATCCGAAGAATTTTGCCCTCATAGCCTCGTACCTGGATAGAAAGGTAAGCAGATCGGTTATTGAAATAGCAGTAACAACACACACAGATGTGCCCGTAAACCGGAGGAAGACATGACATCTATGCTGCCCTGCATGCATGTCACGTGACCACCAACTCAATTGAGCTTTCAACGTGGCCTGGTCGGTATTTACGTTGCCTTGTTATTGACGCTTAGTGCACGTAGTGCAGCGGTAGAGCCTGCCTGGTTTGCTGTCACCCACCGGTTTATTATAATCGCTTGTGAGTGACGAGCGCGCCTGCCGTCCCCTCTCAGAGCGTCTCGGACTGCGTACTTTTCTACTACCTGTCTAAGAAGAACATCAACTACAAGAACCTTGTGCGGAGAAGCAACTGTCGGCGCAAGGGCAAGGGCACGGTGAGCGGCGGCTGGGTGGCACGCACGGGCTTTTGGGGGTGGAAAGGGGGGGGCTTGTTGTACTTACGGGGTTATGGCAATCTCTGCCCCCCCCCCCCACGCGGTGAGGGTCCAAAACCACTGTCCCCAGGGAGTAGCTCGTGAATGCAGTTGCTTTGCTAGCCCAGCCGGTGGCCATGCAGCTCGGGCAGATCATGCCGGATCATGCCAGATCGTGCCGGATCGTACCGGATCTGAGCACTGCAGCCTCCGCTCCCCAGGATGAAATCTGGTTCCCAAGTGTAGTGAGTGGACGGTGGCAGCCTGGTCACCGATTGCAAAACAAAACCCATCATTCCGTTTGGCTGCAAAGTGGCCAGGAGAAGATGTGTTGGCGTTACAGCACATAGATAGAGTTGTAGGTGTTATCCATGTACTCTTGAAATTGGCCTAATTTCCCAATGCAGAACCCGCCGGAAAGAGGCTTGAGTCTCGGTGAGGCTACTATTATACCTGGTTTTTCTAGACCTTGAAAAGGCATTTAATTCAGCATAAATGGATGCAGTCATCTGAGGACTCGCAAACCAAGTAATGGATGGAAATGTATAGCCATTCGTCAAACTGTTAAGAAAGATGGATACATTATATTGAGATTAAATGAAGAAAACAACATACAAGACGGGAATTAAGTGCTTTTGTAAAATTTTATTTTAAAATGAAAGCAAGTGAGCAGCGTGCCAATAGTCAAATGTTTTTTTAAATTAATGTACATTACCTGCCCTGTCGCTTAACATGCCAAGAGACATGGGCACTGATAGAGAGAAACAGAGGAACACATGGATTCGAGAACTTGTTCAAATTAAAGCCCTTGTATTGATTAGTAAGAAGAGTAAGTGGGCTTGGGCAGGGGGGAAAGATGGCTGATGAGCAAGACTGGTGACGGGATAGAGAATAGGGCATGCTCAATCCTGCCATTTGAATTTGTGCGACATATTTTCCTGCGCACGATTGGTGCGGTGCGGGAGAGAGAAGAGAGAGAAGAGCGGTGGAACAAATGCCCCCCCCCCCCCCCCCCCCCCGTGTGCAAAATGTCACCACCTACATCGACGCGATGCCTGTGCGACACTGAGTCGCGTTGTGTGACGTGTGGCATTTGCGCGCGCGCTTTGTGCTGTGGAAGCAATGGTGGTGGTGGCTGGTGTTGCGCAGCGTAATTCTGCCATTTGCATCTCTCCATCAGAATTCACAAGCTGACAGACAGTGGCGCTCCGGAAACTACTCCTCCGTGGACAATGATGTGGGTGTGATTGCAGCTAGGTGTTCCAAATCTAGTCACACTGACAAGGCGGCGTATAGTAACGCGAGGCCGCCTGTTGGCGCGCGTTTTACCCTACCCGGGGCCAGAGGGTGCTGAATTTAATTGCTGGTGTGGGTTGTATTCCACATTGTGCTCTGTTTTTTTTAAGTAACACACTAATGTGCATAATCAATATTGGAGGTGGGTCGATGCATCGGTTCATAGATGACATTCATAAGCCCACCTCGCCTTTATCGAATAGTGCATGTAAGAATCGATGTTTATCGATTCCAACATGTTGATTGTTATGGCTTCATTTGCACCCTGCAGCCACTCGTGGCCACTACATTCACAACACTGCTAATATAAATGATTAAATCTTGCATCAAGTTTATGGCCTGCAATTTTGACAAATCGGCTAATCGCAGTTACACCTTTAATTGCTGTTATAATGGAGCAGATGTGTTGCATTTGTGGTGACTGCGATTGCAAGTATAAATTAGTGTAACTTGTTAATTTGCTGTGCCCAGCGAGCATCGCTGGCTCTGCGCTTGTGCCATGGCTTTGCCTGTGCAGGTCGACTGTGCAGCATGGCAGGAGCCAAGGCCTGTGACAACGTTAGTAAAAGGCTTCAATTTAAACACAAGCATTCATTTCAAACAGCTGCCCGCCACCGTCAAACACCAGTGACACATGCCTGCATACCATCATGCCGGTCCCGCATGCACCTTGACACGTGTGTGTGTGTGTGTCTGTTGAACGCTTTGCTATATAACAATACCCTGTGGCTTGCCAAATACATTCATGCAAATGTCTCAACTTGACACTACTGACGCACTTCGGGAAACGGTGTATGATGTGCTTACTAACTTTGAGGGAAGGGTTCTCAGCAGAACTTAACGAGGGCAACAAGCGCGTGTCATTGAGTGCCTTGGCGTGACGCAGGGGAGGAGCGGGTGGGGGGCATGGTTCGCGAATTCGTGTAAAAGGGCGACTCGGTGTGGCATTGGTGAGGTTCGTGAGTGCAGGCAATGGGGTGACTCGGCGTGGGCGAGCGTGGTTAACGGAGACGCGGAGCCACTTGAGTCGTGGAGTGTGTGCTGCAGTGCATTGTTGTGTGCTGCCTGGGGGCAGGAAACATCCTCAGTTGGAACACCGAATCCTCTGGAGCCTTGTTTACGGAATTTTGTAGTCGTAAGCACGTGCATGCAAACATAAGAGCTTACACGTATTAGGCGTGTGCATTTGACGCTGTGTGAGACATTGGTGAATATCGCAGAGGGAACTGAGAAGAACGGCCCCGCTCGGTTCGGCGGTCCGACTGCGAGCGGGAGAAACCAAAGGGGGGAGGCCTGCGGAGGATGTAATTGTCAGGAATTTGTGGCAGTGGAAGCTTGCGGGGCGAGGAGGGGGGTTTGCTGCGGCGCGGGTGAGCGGCTGAGAGCCGTGTGCGCCAGGCGGGGTCACTGCAGGCCGCGCGCGGCGCAGGCACATGATCCAGTTCGCCACATGTTTGCTGACGGCTCGTTTGGCTCACGGCCAGCACGGGGAGTGAAGTTTACAGCAGATCTTGCGGCGCCGACTGCGCGTGCGGAGCCAGTGTGCGGGAAGCCGTCGGGATAGCCGTAATAAACCGCAGCGCTTGCCATGCAGTGCAAGGGGGTTGCTGTCGGGAAAGCGTATGTTACGGTGAGTGACAGCAGACGCAGCCTGGACTGTTTGTAGAAACTGTAGCAGTCATCGGAATGCGATGGCTGCTACAGTTTCCATTTGATATCTGATATTGTTTCTACTCGAGCACGTTCATCTCTTTGATGTAAGAAGTGTGTGCGCATGCCCCGGCCTGGCCCGGGGTGCTCGCCGATATTTGCCGGTCCGGGTGTAGAGGGCGGTAACGGCGGTGAGGCTGTGCGGGTACACACAAAGACGCGTGCGGTACAGTCTCCCCGAAGTGTCCGTCCGCCTGGCACAGCCCAGCGCCGTGAGTCGACTCCTGTCAGGCTCGGCATCTCTGCTCCTTGGGCTACGAGGGCTCGTTGACTGCAGGTTTTGCGTGATGCGCCCTCGAGTGCTCGAGCCATGAACGGATTGTTTCGTTATGGCGGCTACAGAGAGTGAGTTTTAGTTGGTGGTGGCGTTGTATTCGTGGGGCTTTCTGTGCTGTGGCTCTGCGCCCGGATTTTTTGGCGTTAGGCACGTATGCAGTGGCACGTAAACAGGACGCATGGTGCGCGGTGGACCTAGTTAGCGGAATGTACCTTCAAATAAACACGTGTCAGTTGCTGTTGGGTTATTAAAGAATGTAGAAGTGTCGAAAAACACGTCCTGCGCTTGTATGTGTACTTCAGTGTGCGTTTCACAGAGCTGTGAAGCGCCGACTTGTAGTTGTGTCGCCTCTGCTTGGGCCAAGAAAACCTCAGAATGCCCCGTTACAGCTGGGTCATCCTGTTGCCTTGGTCACATTTCCTGTAATTTTACCGAACTCCCAACTCAAACATATTCGGGCAGAATTTGGGGATATTGCGCTTTTTTACCTTCCCCCCCCCCAAAGCGGTGGTTACTGTAGGTTTGGGTTGAATCCTGTCATTCGTCAGAGTTTTATGGCAACCCCTCCCGCGGGATGTGGATCCCGTGTTTGGGTCTTGGGCGATGGGCGTTGTGCCGTGGGACACGGTCGCAAGTTTTAGATGCGCGGTAGTCTCGCCGCGTCGTCAAATGCCGGCTGGTCTCTCGTCGTAATCCGAGCCGGGGTCACAGGAGGTCGCGTGGAGGCGCTGCGTTCCCGTGCCCGTTGGACCAAATCCTGCCGGGCAAAGTCTGCCGGCGCCTCTTTCTTTCAGAGGCCTCTCTGTGGAAGCTCGTGGTACGTTAGCGAGGGGGATCTCCCGCTTAACACAGAGGGGCGCAATGTTGCGCGGCGGCTGTACAGTAGGGCGTGTGCAGCCAAGTTTCTTAGGCGATGGCTGTTTGAAGCAGAGCCACTTGTTCCCAGCCACGCCATGGCCAAGGGAGAGAGCGTCGCGTTGGCTCTGGGGCAAGTCGAGTTGTGTCTCGGCAATTGCCGGCGGTGGATTTGTCTGCGTGGCTCTCGGTGTGGCGATTTGCCCCACGTCCGGTGTGCTTTATGAGTCAAGATGGCAGTGCTGGATATCATGGAGATGGGGGCGCGGGGGGGGGGGCAGTGTAATGGCTGCTGTCGCGGGGATCCGTGTGGGAGGCAACCGGGCGTGCGCGTGGGCGGGGCTCGGCGGTGCCACGTGCCGGCGCTCTCGCTGAGCGGGATTACGGGGCCGCGCGTGCCGCGTGCGCTTCTCTCTCTCGCTGACGGCGGTGGAGGGGATGGGATGGGACCCCGATAGGATTTCTCGCCGTTGGGAGTCTCCGTCTGAAGGAGCTCTCTAGGGGGCTGCTCCCGCACGGTTCAAAACAAGAGGACGGTTTTGCGTTGAGCGTCGCTGGCTCTTTCCACCGCAAAGGGGGAGTTCGATGTTTACGTCTGCGCCAGCATACGTGGATGCCTGAAGAACTGGAGTCTGACAGCAGCGCTGTACATTTACAGAGGTTTGTAGCACTGGTGTGTGCGGTAAATATGTACTCGGCACACGTAGTTCACTTGCGAGAGTTAAACGTATGTTGAGTCAAAGGTCCGTCTGCTTAAGATTTACTGCATTGCTTTGGTGAGCAGCGCATAGGCTCGCAAACATTAAATCTTTTCCCCTGATGTCTCCCGTTAAAAATGTGTTGTTCAAACAGCACAAGTGTTGTTGTGGTTTGTCGTTGCCGAATTTTTTACCCATGTATTTTTAAAGATTCAAATGTTATTGTTACTTCAACATCACATCACTGTGATTTCCTGCTCAATTGCCAGGGGATGGTGCTCCTCTTCTGTTTACATTCTTGAGCCAGTGGTGAAAATTCCATATTGCTATGGTGGATCGAGTTTGTCTATAGGACAACCACTCTTGACTTATGCACAGACGTGGTACTTATATTATCGACTCCAGATGTGCTGAGTCAACCCTCAAGCAGCATTTGAACTCGCAAACTCGCTCAACCACTGAGCCACCCGGCCGGATTTCCTGATACTAGGACCAAATTTATGAAGAATAGTGTTCACCTTATGGCAACATAAAATTATTATGCCACCTATGGAGGCCGATTATGTGCCCAGTGTGGCCAGCACAGTGCTTGCAGTATCGTGTTGACTCGGTGATTGTCGACAGTCGCCGCCTACCCAAACCACGTTGTTATGGTGGCAACTTTAAGGCAAAATCTACACTGAGGGCAATTAGTAAATTCTCTCCCGCTGTGGCCTTGCGGGATAGGTTGTGACCCATATGCTACAGAGTAAACCCCAAATTAATCGGGAGAAGGCAATGGCAAACTGCTGCTGTGTTTGCCAAGGATGTCATGGCTATAAATAGAAGTGTCCATGTCCACCACGGCCGAGATGAGGTTTCACAGTGAGCGGCGGCCACAGCTTGTTCGGTAGAGACTGTCAGGGGCGGCAGGTGACGCTCGCCCGTTACCACGTGACTCTCCTTAACAAAAGTAAACATAAGTGTAGCAACTTGAAAAGTGAGGACGGAGTGAAGTTAGGTGGAGAGGTCGTGGACATTTTTCAAATGATTGGCAGTTATGAATTTATTCAGGAGGAGGTGTGCACACGTGACAGGGGTAGGACTGCTGATAGAAATACAGGCAGCCAGTTCCCTGTTGGACCCAATATTCTGCAGTGTCTCAAAGTATTGCTTGTGAAATTGTTATTTGAGCCATTTAACATCTCCATCGTTCAAGTATAATGTACACCCACGGCTGAATGCTCAAAAGGGGAACTTGAGGCATTTTATGAGGAAATCGATGAGGCTAAAGAAGAGTGTAAATTTCGGGTGATATGAATGATGAAAGAAGACTTTAATGGAAAGTTGGTGAGAGTAGAGGTGAATGATATTATTGGACCATATGGATTATGAACGAGGAATGAAAGAGAACATTGCATAGAAGAGTTCACGGTACATGGGCACGTTTCGTGACAAATGCGTGGTTCGAGATTTTCCCACACGGTTCTGAAGAGCCCAGGTGACCATAGTCGGCACCAGATTGATTCCATGGCTATCAATAGATGCTTTCGGAATGCGATGAATCAGTCAAAAGGTGTATTATCATCCTGACGCGGATTGTGGGCGCGACCATATTCCCTTAGTAAGATAGAAAGATGAGAGTGAAATTAATCAAGTTAAATAAACGAATAGGAAGCCATAAAGTTCAGGGTCACTCGTTAAAACTGATGGAAAAATTCAGCAAAAGGGTGTAGCGGCTGTAAAACATCGAATTTTAGTGTTCTTCACAATACAGAAATTGTGCGCACAAAATATAAACAGTAAAATAAAGTTGGTTGAGGCCATAAATGAAACCGTTTTTAGAGTAGGGGATGAAAGGTGGAACACAATGGATGGCATCAGAAATCTTGCTCCTTGTGCGGGAGCTGAGAGAAGCAACACAAGTTCGTCCGAACGCGCTATAAGGAAATCGTTTTAAATGTTTTTATAACAATGAATCAACGCAAATAAATATTGCTAAATGCGCAACGTGAGGGAATAGAGGGGATTGATCATAGGGTTCTAAGATTGATGCCTAGGAGATTCAAAGAAATAACTGGGAAAGCGTACGTTCTTCCAGTTCTTCCATTCGCATGGAGAATCTAATTGTATTAGCAGAAAGGGCCCAATGAGCTGCAAGGTTCTATTTCATGGGCGTCCTCGACGGTACAGTTGTTGTACGGTACAGATCTTAGTCAAAGTCATGGTGACATAGGTTGTGATACGAACAGCCGGTACATGCTTTACTTGTTACAGAAATAGGCAACCGGTCGAAAACGTAAATAAAAAAACGTGTCTGCATTATTTTATGAACAAAAAAAGTATGGGGATTTTTTATTTATTTAACAGAGCGAAACACAATCAGTAACCGGGAACTTAGTGTCATCCATACTGACTCAGAATATAAATGTTTTGGCTGGGAAAATGATAGATACCACAAGAAGCCAGGGAACACCGCCAATTAGGTTACGTAAGCAATGTGAACAATTGGATACAACTTAGAGAATCTCATGCACAGTTCTTGAGTAAATATCATGGACAGATTTATTCGGAAGGGAGGCCATGATCACCGACATCTTTGAGAAAGGACGTGGCGCAGAGAGAGAGGAGTCCACCACCCTCTCTCGCCAATCTGGAGCACGTTCCGCTTCCCTCTCCCTGCGCCCGCCGTGCAGCCTGCGTGCACAAAGTATACACGGGCCCCGCAGTGTTGGCCCCCGGCCCAGATGTGTGACGGTCATAAGGACCGTGCAACTTGGCTCCATTGGGGGGGTGAGGGGGGGCACAGCAAAACCAGACAGCGGCCCTTCTCCAAAATGCCGCCGGCACTGGTAACTGGCACCGACAGATGCAGCACTGGCAGCAGCAGCGGCAGTATCGCTGCCCCGGTGATGTGATGTCACTTTCCCTTTCTGCCTGAATCTTGTGCCGTTTCGTGAAATTGCCTCACGCCGCCAGTGGAGGGAGGGTGGGAGGGGGGGGGGGACTGTGGGGAGCGGTGCTGCAGCCCGCCCACGTATGTCTCGCACGCGGGACTGTGGAGTCCAGGCCGGCTGCCACTCGCACGCACGCACTCAGCAACAAGTGGGGACACCTTTGGCCATTGCACGCTAATCCTCGCGAAGGGATGAGAGATCAGGTCGAGGATCGTGACCTTGCATCGCCGAGCCTCAGGCACCGCGAATTGAATCGAAACTAAAGTGCCGCGCGTTGTCAGCTTCATGCTCCCAAGATTTGGTTTCTCACATTTTCCTTTTCCCTTACAGCAGACGATAACGCGACCCGTGACGGAAGAGAAGGATGAAAAAGAAAAGAAGGAAGAAAAGAAGGAAGACAGGGAACGGGAGAAGGAGAGGGAGAAGGAGGAGGAAAAGCCAGAGAAGGTGGAGGAGCGCGAGGAGCGCGAGGAGAGCCGAGAGAAGGAAGACGACTCGTCCAGGTGAACTCTGTCTGACCGTGGTGTCGCCGTGATGGATGAGTCTATATTTAGCCCGTTCATGGCGGCGCGTCCCGTGAGAACGAGCACGCGGCCGCGCTATCCCAGCCGAGTTGAACCCCCAGGGGGAGAGAAAGAGAATAGGGAGGATAAAACAAAACGCACTGTTAGCTGCACGTGTGCCTGTGCTTTGGTCGTATATATAAGCGCCGCCCTCCGGTCTGCAGTTCTACAATAAAAATGGTTTCTACGCTGCTAAAAAGAGAGCTGCGTGTATTTAAAGTTCAGCAAGCTTCATTTTGGCCAACATTCCTCAGTTGGCTGTCATCGCTCGCTTTATGGGTTCATGATGTTCATGTCAATGTGCGCAGCTGCGTCAGGAGGGATTTTTTACCCTTGGTGTCCCGTAGCGGAATACGTGAGATCCCTCGCTCGCTATCCTCGCCGGGCCATCCGTACGCTGCCCGTACTGAGCGGCTGCCCCGTGTGTCAACGTGTTCAGGGAGAAGGAGAAGGAAAAGGGAGACTCCTCGGGCGAAGAAGGCGATGAGAAGGGCCCGTCGGCCGGCAAGGGCCGAAGGACGGCGGGCGGCCTGTCGCGTCGGAAAGGGCGCATCACGAGGTCCATGGCCAACGAGGCTGCGGCGGCCGCAGCGGCGGCGGCGGCCGCCAACACAGCAGCAAGCACCACCCCCGAGGACCCCCCGCCCGCACCACAGCCGCCCCTGCCGGAGCCCGTGATCGTCTCCACCTGTACCACTGCCGCTACTGCCACCGCCACCACCACTGACGTTGCTACTCCCGCCGGTGCCTCGCCCATTGCCGCCATCCCAACTACCATAGCCACCGCCGTCACCGCCGCAGCCACCGGCACTGCTACCGCCACCATCACCGCCACGACCACCCTTACCACCATCAGCATTGGCATCACCCCCGCCACCGCCACCTCCTCCACCTCCACGCCACTGCCCGGTGAGTGCCAGGAAACAATATATGGCTGCCTAACTCTCTCCAGTACGTTACGGTGCTGTGGTTGTGGTTGAGAATTGAAGCTGTGTGAATAGCTGTGCTTCAATGCGAAACTGTGTTTGTCTGTTGCTACATGAAGCTGTGTGCGCGCGCGTCCGTGCGTGTGCGTGCACATGTCTTTGGTGTGATCAGCAATGGGAGCCAACGCAGAGCCTGTGGAGTCGTCACGCTGGACCGAGGAAGAGATGGAAATTGCTAGGAAAGGTACGGCCTGCGTGCATCGCCATGCATCGTGGTGGCGACCACATCCCAGCACCATGAGCCCAGCAAATCCCAGCACTAATGAACCACGTGTCAAGGGTTGCTGGTTTATTTATGCAAAATAAACAGACCAAAGTCTGCCTCTATACATGAAGCAATTTGTATAATTTTTGTCAGGCTACCCCTCCTCTTGTCCCAATGGCCTTCCTGACATGTTTTCGAGCAGCTTTTGTTTAAGCATACAAAACCATGAACCAGTTTAAACCTTCTGAATCTCATCAGGAAAGCAATGCCCGCTAAGTAAATAATGTCGCGATTGCAGACTTTACTGGCAAGAGCTGTGGGTCCTTTAAGTGCAAAACGACAATACGGAAAGTGCTGATGCATGGGAAGATTACGGATGTAGGATGCGAAGTAGGAAACGGATATTAAAAGTTACAGTAATAAAAACTCTACAGAGAAAACAAACCGCCCCTTCCAAGCAATGGCAGGTGCACGCGACACAGTTGGACCGTGATTTATCCCTTCCGAGATTTGCCCGCTCCGAAATGTCAATCTGGGTGTGCCACCGACAGTGTGTCCTTTGGTCGTTCGTAACGGAGGAGCGCATTGCATTCTGATAAACAGCAGACTCGTGCAAAGTTGCGTAGTTTGTAGATGACGTATATACGTTCATACAGTCTCTGCACACACGCACATATGCACACGTGTTGTCACGTGTGTTACCATATTTTACCGTGATGTCGTGTTCGGCACCACGTGACTCTTGTTTACTTCAACCGCATTGGCTGCAGCTTCCCAGTTCAACCGTGGGCTGTCGCGGCTGAGCATTTTCCTTCAGTGCGCCGTGACGCCTGCGACCGTTTTAAGCAAGGGCGAGTCAGCAAATATCGCTGCCAGCAGCTGTTGCTGACAGAAAACCTAGCCTGGTGTCTTAGCGGTAGAGCGAGCGGCTCGCGATTGCAAGGTTGCGAGTTCAACCTCCTCAGGTTGATGAAACTAGTACCATGTACGTGGGGAAGTCAAACAGCAGTTGTCTTATTGATATACTCGTCCCCACCATGGGATTGTGGAATATCCTGCCCTCAGGGTTTTTAAGAGAAGTGACAAGCACCGGCCTCAATGTTCAATTGAGCAGAAAATCATTTTGACTTTTGAGCCAGAATCTGTAGGTAAATGTAAGCAGCCTGCAGAGATGAGCTACGTTCGGATTTAACGGGAACTAATCTCGGAAGCATTCTGCTTCAGTGATGTAATGCATTTGGAGGTTTTCTTGAAATGTAAACAAGTGCTTGTTTATTTTTTATTGAAGCACAAAATGCCGGTCGTTATTGTTCAGTTGCTTCAAAATGTAATCCCGGGTGGTTGTGTGTGTGCGATTGCAAGGTCACGCTGTTCTGTCAATCACTAATGAGCCTAACCAGAATTGAATCCATTATGAGAGCCGCTGTGCGTCTAAAGACAATCGCCGCTCCATCCGCACTGGAACATTGTAATTTGTAAAGAGAACATAACAGCACCCTAATGTCACTCTGACCCAGCTACCTTTCTGACATTTAACTTTGCGCTGCCGTTACTAGATAATAAAATGGCAAAGTAGTCGGTTACGATTGAGGTGCTGTTTAATGTCTTTGGATGACACGCGAACCCAGTCTGAACAATAATACCGTTGTACGGTCTTCTGAGCCGTGCCCTGAATAGTTTTCAGTCTGAGGCTGTGTGTCTGGTCCACTGCAGGGGTGGCCCTATCATGCCACGTGAATTGCTGTCTGGTCCATTCGCGGTGCCCATTGTTGTTCTTGTTGCGTGTGCGCTCATGGATTTTCTCTTTTGCACAGTCACATAGTCACTTTAAGATGTTTTTCTTGTTCGTGTTTTTTGTTTGTTTGTTGTGGTTGCACCCGATTCATGAGCCGGATGGCTCACAGGGCTATACCAAAATAAACTGAACTGAACTGAAAGGGATAGCTGCTCCGCGCTGAGCGCCTGTCTGGGGTCGCTACAGAGGTGTAAGCGAACAGGTGCCCCCAGCAGCAGAACCGACGGCCGTTTATTGACGCCGTTGACTTAAAAAAAATGCGCAACAAATACAAAGAATCTGGTAAAACATTTTTTGAAACCATTCTTTACCAAGATTGCTATCGTCACTGCTGCAAAAGCAGTTTTAATTCATCGGTGGAGGCACCTGCGCAGGTGATGATATTCTTGACAGCGTCTTCTTACGTCAGTAGCTGCAATTGTTGTTGAGGAACAGAAGAGACTACTCGGGTGGTCACCGACACGCTCCTCATTGGTATCCGAGTCGGAGCGTGTCGGTGACAACCTATACTAACATCCAGGATCTATTCTATTCTCTCTGCTTATTGCTTGGCGGATGCTGAAAAATAATATCCAGTCAGCGATTTGTCAGAGTCGCTGAGAGAGTGATTCGTAAGGGATGCGCACACGGTGTCCTCGGCAGGAAAGTCAAGAGACCTACTGTAGGCCGGTGGTCATTGTAATTGCCATGTCTCCCAAGTGTTGTGAAGGCGGTGACGGGTGAAATCGGAACATTGTGACTTGTGATGTCCTGCAGGGTTGGTGGAGCACGGTAGGAACTGGCCAGCAATTGCCCGAATGGTTGGCTCCAAGTCGGAATCTCAGTGCAAGAACTTTTACTTCAACTACAAGCGACGACACAACCTGGACGCTCTGCTGCAGCAGCACAAGGCCAAGGGGGTGAGTGGCAGCAGCTGGCAGCACGACATACACAGACGCACATAGACGACAAGTACACGCAGTGCACGTAGATGGTACTGCGATGGATAATTGTGGGGTGTCCAGCCTGCACACTGTGTGGCAAGCACAGATGGGCAGTGCCAAGTGAGCATCCCGACTTGTCTGGCCGTCGATCCGGGCGGCTAGTATTATGCGCGTTTTTTTTATCGGGGCACAAAGTTAATAATAACGACAATTATAAAGCATCTCATTGAAAGATGCTGTACAAGGTGTCCATATAAATATGAACAGTGCACAGAACAAAGCATGAAGTAGTAGCCACTGCAAATAAAGCACAGGCCTAGCGACGAGCTGGGCAGATTACTTGGCGGCGTGGCACACCGCGCATAAATCATCACAAGAGTGTGATGTGGAAGGCGAGTAGAATGGGGAGGGATTTCCCCTAGAATGGTGGTGGATGAGTAGACGTGGGAAGATTGGAGAGAGCATTCTTACAGCTGTAACTCGTCAGCGGTAGGGAAGAAAAGTCGAACGTTCGTACTTAAAGAGGCAGAAGGGAATAAGCAGAGCGGGTGACCGGGGAGATAAAACTCTAGACTGCGAGAGCAGCACAGCAGAAGGCTGTGCGTGCGCACCGTGGAGAGGGAGGGAGGGCGGGCGGGCGGGCGGTGACGGCGTGCGGTGTTGGCGTGCGGTGTTGCTCTGCACCGCAGTCGCGGTGGAGGGCACGGGCCGATCGCGAGCTGTCCCAGTGTGAGAGCGTTGCCTCCACCGTGTCCGCCCAGGACGACCAGGACGACGACGATGACGAGTCCGGGGCGAGCGGCGACCAGAGCGAAGGTGCGACGGTGGAGACTCCTGCACACACACGCACGTCCCCTCCGAGATGGAATCTCCTCCGTGCTGTGTTCGACAACTGAGTTTTTTTCTCGCTCTTTCTTTACTCCCATTGCTCACATTTAGAACTCCTTCGCGTTGTTCCCCCCCCCCCCCCAAGTTCCTGTAATCTTTCTATGTTGAAGAAACGCGTTTCTGCCTTTATTTTTTGCCGCTTGTGCTGCAGTTAGGGGCGTTTAAATATGAGAAGGAGGGGTTCCTGCGGGAAATTGTTGAGCTGTGGTGCATACTGTTGATTTTTCATAGCTGCGAATTACAAAGCGCGTATTTATCCATTGATGAATCAATTAAAATCAATCTTTAAACTCTTATGCTAATGAGTTAAATGTACAATCGAATTTAATAAAAATGTCTACATGCCGAGATACTCATCGCAGCTTAAAAATCACACGCAAGACATTTGCGTGTCGCTAAATCTGCAATCGAGAAACAATGCAAGGAGCTTTATCAATCGTGACTGGAATGGGAATGATGGATGGGGTTGCCGGGAGGGGGAACGGAGAAGCGCGGCTTACGCGGCGGTGCGCGCTGCTGCCCGTCCCCGCGACAGGCGGAGACAATAACAGCTCGGACACGGAGAGCGCGCCGTCCCCCATGGACACCACACGGCTCAAGGAGGAGGACGGCGTTTCCGGCGGCGCCGACTCCAAGCCGGCCAACGCCGGGGCCGTGCCGCTGTCTGCCGACAAGGAGGTGAGGGCAGATGGTACCTGGCGGCATGGGCTGGTTTCGTTTCGTTCCGTGCATATCTGTACGATTGAATATTATTGTCAGTGTGTGCCTGTACATTCCTTTGCGTATCTGTGTACGAGCAGGATGCAGCGAAGGTGGAGGAGCCGGAGGAGCCAATGGAGGTGGACTCCAATGCCCCTGGGGCGCAGGTGAAAGCGGAGTGCAAGACGGAGGAGGAGGAAGAGGTGGAGCGTCCGGCGAAGGCGGTCGCCGCTGCAGACGTCCGGCGTCCCGTCGAGTTACTGCGCGCCAACGAGGAGGAGGGGGAGCTGGGGGAGCTGGTTCGCCGGCCGCTGGGCAGCGTCACGTCCATCTCCAGCCACGATTCGAGCGCCACCTGCAGTGCTGACGAGGGGGAGGAGACTGTGCCGGGGTAAGACCGGCGAGACTTCCGGCGAAGCTTCCAGGCAGCCCGCGCGCACGACGTTAGGTCGGCGTCGACATGGCTTGCACCGTGCAAATTATTGAGCGTGGGGCACCGCTCACGCGGCATGTGCTGCTGCCTTGCTGTTGTTGTGGGTATTGTGTGCGATGCCTCTGTGAAGAGTGATTGTTACACATGGGTTTTTGCTGTCAATTATAATCTCGGCTTGGTGTTGTGGGTTAGGCCACGTGTTGACCATATCTTAAGCTTCCACTACGCACGATAGCCGGCATTGCCAGGAGGAAGAGGAGGATAATTATGATGACGACAATTAGCAGTGACCCGTAGTGGCGGTGGTGTTGAGCACCGACGCTTGGTAAGGCACATGGTCCGGCACGTTACGTTTTCAGGGTGCGGGGAGGCAGTTCCCACGGACTCTCGCCTGGTTCGAACCGCTATTACTACTGCACCTTGACAGAATGACTACAACCCTGCCCTGCCTCTGGAGTTACATTTTTTGTTGTTTATCTGTGTGATTTAATCTTTACTGAGATGAACACAACCAATGAGCTGATAAGTCACTTAAACTACGGAGGGATGCAATGCCTCACCAATGCAAAGTGTTGGCTCCAGAATTGCCGTGGTGCAGAAATTTTGAGAGACATTTTACGCCCCTCAAAATATCGACAATTTATCACGGTTGCGGCATTTATTGTACACAAAGCAATAACATCATTAAAACTATTTGAGCATTTTATAATTGGATGTTTGCAGCTGAAACGTAAAAAACACATGCACAGGTAAAAATACAATGTGCTTAAGCTGCTTGAGCGAGATGGGATCTTGTGAGATTAGAGCTTGTTAATCTATGGCAGGCGTAGGGGGTGTGCGCAACGTGCTTTGTGTGCAGGGGCCTTAGATTGTAAAATGTGACCCGACCTGGTGTTGCTGCCCTGGCTTCCCCGTGGGAGTTTCGTCCCTGTGTCTTAGCGCTTAGTCCCCTAAGCACAACATCTCCCATAAGCCGCGCTTAGGCAGCAACGTGGCGTTGGAGGTGGCCTCGTGAAACCTCCACGCGTGCATCGCCGTGGTCGTGTGGAAAGCCGCGTTTGTGCGCGTTGAGTGGAAGCTAAGTGCCCCCCGTTGGGCGGGCACGTGGGCGCACCAGCTTGGCGGTCACGTGGAGGCTGCCTGTACGTGCGCCTCGGGCGTGCCAAATCCTCCGGGCGCCGCGTTGGGGTTGAGCCGTTGAGGTCGGGCCTGGCTGCCAAGGGCAGTAACTGTGTAGGCGCAGCGGCGACGTGGGTGTCACGCCGGCCGCCCGCCCGCCCGCGTCGCTGTGCTCTGTGTAGCTTGAGAGGCTTGAGGTGATGTTTGTCGGGCGAATGTGTTTGGAGAGCCATCGTTAATGTCTCTGGGACATTTACGCCTCTAAAACTCCAGTCTTGTATGCACACGTGTTTCATTAACGTGACTTGGTTTATGTAACACGGAGGTATTTGCAGCCAAGCATTACAAATCGCAATTCAACAAATTACTTGGTGATGCTGAATTTGTTGTGTTGTGAGGAAGGGCCATTCCCTCAGGCGTCATCTATTATATATTTTGTCTTTTTGGGCAATATTTTTAAGATTACGAGTATTTTTTTTTACAATTCCTAAATTGAATGGCTAAATTTAGTTTTGAGGATTGTTCTTCCACTTGCCGGACCGTGAGTGGAAACGTTAATAATTTGTGCATTGTTAAACACTTGTACACCACGTGATAATTATTTTGGCTATGTTGGGTGTTGGAGGGTTCTTAACTATGCATTTGATGAGATCATTTCGTGGCCTAACCCAAAGTTACGAATCGCATTATTGGTTGTGAAAACGTACGACGCGTTAAGCACACACACACACACATGTGTTTAAGGAATGTTTTGTGTAAGATGAGACTCGGCGTCGGTATGGCTTCCCGTGTAAAGTGCGTGTGTGCGCGCATGTGCGTGTGTTCAGCGCTGTGTCGCCCAAGCCGAGCCTCCTGTGCCCGCCACGCGCCATGATAATGTCACCGCCCATCAGGCCGCCCGCCATGGACCTGCAGCAGCTGAAGCAGCGAGCGGCGGACATCCCTCATATGGTGAGGTGACACATCGCCCTCACCACTTTGCTCTGTAGCCACTTGTGCACGGTGGTGTGGACCGGCGGTCGCGCGTTGCCCGCTTGTTGCAGACGTTCGCGCGCGTATTACCCGTTGAACACTACGCGTCGTCTGCTTTGCAGTGGACGTTAAAACGATTTTGTAACGTCATTCGAAAAGAGAAGGCCATTGTCTCCTGGCGCCACAGTCCAAATTTGCCAAATTATATAAACTTGTAACATACCGCGTGGTATTCGCTCGCTCTCATAGAGAGAACGAGGTGGAGGCGCGAGGAGGAATCGAAGACAAGCAGGAAGGCGGCAGCCACGCGAAGAACCTGCCATGTGTGCGTGTGCGCCGCAGATGTACGCGGCCGGCCCGCCGAAGGCACAGGCGGACGCGCTCACCATGTTCCAGCAGCAGATCAAGGTGGTGGCGCAGGAGTCGGCGCTGGAGGACCCCGCCAGCGGCCACAGCCACGACGCATCGGACGCCGGCGGCCTCAAACGCGAGTCGCAGGATCCGGCGGGGGCCTCCCGGCGCGACTCCCTCGACGGGGAGCGGCACGGCAGCACCAGCCCCCGTTCGCTCAACCGCAGCTCCGCCGGCCTCGACAGAGACGGTGCGCTCCGTCGTACAGCTCGCCGAATCCGTCCAGCGCGGTTTCTAATTCTCCCCACTAAAGTTCAAAGCGCTAATGAATTATCTCCATCAGTTTGTCTGTCGGTAACAGGGGAACACGGTAGATTGTTTGGGGGGGTGTTGAGGCTCGACGGTGTTGTGCTGTGTGAAAGTGAAGAGGAATGGTGCTACTTACTTCGTATCGATTTTACATGTGGAATTTCGTTTCGGCAGTGAACTGAAAGAAACGCCGTGTGGTGTGTAGTTAATCTGTGCGTGCGTGAACTCGTGGTAATGCGCATTCGTGCAAGTGTAGCTGTGCGTACGTGTATGTGTTTTTGCGCGAGCGCATCCGTTTGTGCGCGTATGGGATTGCGCTTACGTTCGTGTGTGTGCTGGCGCGCTTTTGTAAACGTTTGCTCATTTGCGTGTGTGCACGCGAGCGCCTATGCTTAGTGTCCGTGTGTGTGTGTGTCCAAGTGAGTGAGCGCGTGTGTGGTAATGCGTGCATATTCCGTGGCCCTGGCCGAGCAGGCCGCTCGGTGGCCTTCTTCTACCAGGACGCGAGTGGCGGAGCGGTGCCCTCGTCGTCTCCGTACCACGCGTTTGTCCGCGAGACGGGCAGGGCCGGCGAGCTCTACCTGCAGAGGCACCCCCTGCCAGGTGCTGGCACACGTGCCGCTTCACAGCCACGCCTTCCTTTCCTTTCGGCCGGGTCCGTCCGGGTTCACTCACCTGGAAAATATTTTCACGCTCGGAATCGCACCTCATCCAGTATACCTCTCACTGTGGCTGCCGGTCACGTGGCGCTTACTGAATATATTTGGTGAAGAGTTAGGTCCCGATCGTAGCCCAGGTGTCGTGTTGGTGTTAAGAGGTGCTGCGAGCAGGCTCTGGCCTCCTCGTTGAGTAAAGGTCGTGTTCGCTTCTTATGTACTCATTCGCTGTTGATTGATTGGTTTGGATTTAAAACGTGCAGTTTAATTGAGCTTTCAGTGGAGGTTTAATTGTGGTGCGAAGTGTTAGAAAAACCGTACACAGCTAGCGAGTTGTCACTGGCGCTGAGCGGCATCTGTGCGGGGCGTGTCGCCACTCCAGGCTTGCAGCCGGCCCCGCACCTACTGGATGTGACCCGGCAGCCCGTGCCACGGCCGGCGCGGCTTGGCGCCATGCCGGGGCCCCCGCCACTCATCCCGTCAGGGAAGCAGGCCGGCACCGCCGAGAAGCCCACGGTCATCATGGGCGGAGGAGGCTCCATCACGCAGGTGGGACACGCACACAACCACAGCCGCATGCGCGCACACGCAAACAAAGAAAGATCCCCCGTATAGTGTTTAACAAACTGTTGGGGCAAATGTTGTTAGCGAACACCTATTCAGGCTCGTATTGCACACGAGGGGGTAGTTGGCCAGCACCGCACCTAGCCGCCTTTGTATCTACAATTCTGATGCTTTACGCATCGCACCAGGTACTCGTTTAAGGCAACCAAGGGGAGGCCCAGGACCAGTTAAAATATATTTTCTGCCAATGTTCTTGGTTGTCACTGTGAATCGAACTCGGGGCACGCTGGTGAAGTGCGAGAGCAGCCAGAAGCACGACGTGAAGTCGCTGCTGGGCAGCCCGAGCCACCCGGCTCACGCCGGACTGGCGCAGCACCGGCTCATGGCGGACAGCGCTTGCGCCGCGGAGAGGGGGGGTGGCGTGGGGGGGGGCGACGCGTCCTGCACTACCGCTCCACCTTAGCACACACACACTTCTTCCTCTAGACTGCACAACCACACAATCCAGAGCACCTGGAAAAAACTTTTGCATGAGAGGAGCACACTATAGCGTGGCACAGCTTGGCCTGTCTAACCTCTAACCCCTGCTTACCGCACCGAGTCATTCATGGTTGTGTTGTCACGCTTGTGTTGTAATTGTGTTGTGCTTGTTTTTGCGGCTGTGTTGTGGTTGTGTCGTGCCGCGGGCACGCAGGGCATCCCTGCGTACCCGTCGGGCGCGGTGCACGCGCGCGTCGCCTTCTCCACGGACCCGGGCAAGGTGGCTATGGGCTCCATCCTCATGGGCACGCCGCGGCCCGCGGACGCCTCCAAACACGGTGAGCATGCAGCGCGCACGATTTATGCTCCCCGCGGAGGTCCTCTGAAAGCCTCGCCTCGTCCCATTACTTTTTGGGGGAGGGTCCTGCCAAGCTTTCACAGGAGGGGATTGATTATTGCTGCATTCTGATCCCAGTTGAAGTAACTGTGCATGGTTGTCCGCGTGCACGTGCAGCGGCGGTGTCGGTCATCAAGCAGGAGGAGCTGTCTCCACGCGGGCAGCCCGAGGGCCTGCACTCCCGCCAGAGCTCGGACCCCTCAATCCTCATAGGTGTGAAGCCAGCGCTTGCTCATTGTCAACGAAACTAGGGTGGGAAACATTAGTCAGTAAGGCTTCTTAATGTGAGCCGGCAGTGTCTGTGAGTGGACGATGATCGTCGAGCGCAACAACCACTGCGACCGCTGCCCAGCAGAGAGCGAAGCGCGGCCGGCTGTGACGAGACAGAGCTCACGAGTGTGGGGACGAGGACGCTGACAGGGATAATGTAACATCTTCGTTAAGGCAGATATGGCAAATTGAATATTTACTGAGTTCACTAATTGGCAAACCTGATATAATATTGGGGACAAAATAATTATTCAACCGTCGCACCAATATTGAGTAACTGTGTGGACTACGTTTATGACTGCCATCCACGAGACTTACTAGGATTAAAACAAACGATGCCGACTGAATTAATACGGCAGGGCGGCCACTTGTGCCGTGTCGCTTCACCTCGCGCGTGCGTGTCTCTCCCTGTCGGCCGCGGTGGCGCAGCCGGGCCCTCGGCGGCGCCCATGCATGAGGGCGTCGTTTCCAAAGCGTCGGGGCCTCCGGCCAAGCTGTCGCTGGACTCCTCCGTGAACTACCGTGGCTCCATCTCGCAGGTGCTGAGATGCGCGGCGGCGAGGGCGGTGGTGAACTCGTTCCCCTAAAGGTCGCGCTCGAACTCGTGAGCGTTTTCACCAAATGTTATAGCGTGCCTTGTATGCACCCACTGAACGGCTGCAGCCACAGTAAGGAACTCATTCAATTGTTTACTTGATGTTAAACCAGGTAAGAGCCTGTTGAGATTTAACTGTTTCGTGTACAAGTGAGACATGGTTTAAGCAAAGCAAAACAAAGAGTGTAATGATCATAAAACATTGATGTTTAAGTGATTGTCACGTCTGCTGCAGCCGAAAGGTGCTCACAGTACAATTTCTATTTTCATAGCATTTACTTGGAACTGCATGACTCGCGCATAATCAGGGCGGCGTACTTGATTGGTTAAAGGCAGAAAAGGGGAAGGGAGGCCTTTAGCTGGGGAAGGAGGCCACCACGTGGCCGTCACCACACACGTAGTGGCCGGTCCTGCAGGGTGGCCTGCCCGAGAGCTGGTCCCTCTCCTCTCCTTGTTGCTCATTGCCCCATGCCTCCCCTCCACCACCAGGGCATCCCTGCGGAGGTGCTGTACAAAGGAACCATCTCCAAGCTGGCTTCCAGCGATGAGTCTGCCGGCTCTGACCGCGGGAAATCGAGCCACCCAATGTCCTACCCCTGTAAGTCGCATTTCCACCGAGTGCACAGGCATTTGTACATCACATTCTGGGATCTGCTCGCACAGCCCTTTTGTCAATCCACTGCTGCATGAGGGCTTCCTCAAGCCTTGCGGTCGTAGGGTTATTTGACATCCATATTTCACAAATCTGGTCATTGAAGGTGGGGGAGCATATACGCTTTGAGTTGGGAACGTCACAATGATGGAAGTTGCGAACAACGTAGCGTGCACATTGGTGCATGGAGCAGCCTACAATTCTTGTTTTACTCTTTGGTTCTTTCGGTAAAGTGTCGTACAAAGATAAAATAATAAATTAATTAATATCATACGACGTTTCTATTGCAACACAAGCAATCATCATCAGGTACAAATGAAAGAGAAACCAAACCTAGTAAACTTAGAAATATAATGCAATATAGCACAGATAGTCGGCTAACATAACAGTCAACACCCTACCTGGTTGATTACGTTCTTCCAAAGATTGCTAAATTTGAGAGAGATAAAACACAGAACCGGAGACACATAGACAGACACATAAGCAGAGAGAGATAACACAGAGACACAGAGAGAGAGACACACACACATAGGCACACAGAGAAACAACGCCTCTGTGTCGAGGCCTTAAATAGAAAGAGAGGGGGGCAGAGAGAGAGGGGGGAGGGGTAGAGAAATTAGCATGTCAACGAGAGACCAGACACAACTGCTGGAAGAAAGAGCAACTAAACGAGGGGAGACAGAGAAAACACACTAAATCAAACAAACTTAGTAAAATTTGGAAATGTAATGCAATGCAACACAGAGAGTCGGTCAACACACAATTAACACATGGCCTGGTTGATTACGTTCTTCCAAAGATTGCTCAATTAGAAGTCAAGTGTGAAATTTGAGAGAGAGACAAGACACAGACACGGAGACACAAAGACAGACACAAGCAGAGAAAGAACACAGACAGAGAGAGCGAAAACAAACTTAAAACCTCCCCGTAGAGGTGGTTCAAACTTTATTTGGCGCTTTCGTGACTGCAGGAATTACTCTTTGGTTCTTTCGGTAAAGTCACGTAGAAAGAGAAAATAATAAATAAAACAATAGCATACGACGTTTCGATTGCAACACAAGCAATCATCATCAGGTACAAATGAAAGAGAAACCAAACTTAGAAATATAATGCAATACAGCACAGATAGTCGGCTAACATAACAGTCAACACCCTACCTGGTTGATTACGTTCTTCCAAAGATTGCTACATTTAAGAGAGAGATAAAACACAGAACCGGAAGACACATAGACAGACACATCAGCAGAGAGCGATAGCACAGAGACACAGAGAGAGAGACACACATAGGCACACAGAGAAACAACGCCTCTGTGTCGAGGCCTTAAATAGAGAGAGGGGCATAGAGCTCGCGGCAGGCTCAGTTCTGCTTGGCTTCTCGTTGGGATACTGATCACAACTGAACTCGGCTGAACGCACTAAGAGTCAGTGAGTAACACTTTACAGATATGACTGAGTATATCTGCACTCGCCCTCCACTCGCCAACCAGCGCCGCTGCTCGTGCCGTTCCCTATTGCGAATGTCCGAGGTACCGGCGATCGGTGTGCATTTGCAGCTCTCCAGAAGAGCGCTGGCGAGGGCTCGCGGAGCCCCAGGGCCCCGCACGAGATGGCGGGGAGCAAGCGCACATACGACATGATGGAGGGCGACCTACAGAGGATGCACCGCCTCGCCGAGTCCAACCCCTACGAAGGTGCGTGTCCACGGCACCGGCACTGCCAAGGGGCGGCCGAGGGCACCTCGCGGAGGGAGTTTTATGTAAAGGGTGGAAGCCGACGGGCTGAGGGATCATCTCTTGTCGGTTGTGCTCGATGTTTCTCACGGTTATGCTGTTGTAAATCGTTGTCGTACGAGATGAGAAGATGTTTATGTGCTCCAGGTATTTTATTGAATGAGCGCCACCACCACTCTGCTGTTGTGCCAGGCCTGTACAGTCGAGCCCAGCACAGGGAGGGCGCCGGCGTCCCGGACAATAAGGAGCGCGCATCCGTCCTCGGGTCCATCATGCACGGTTCGTTCTGCCTGTGAGCCCCGTCGCTCGTACGCCCACACTCCCCATTTAACGTTTGATTTCGGGGTGACGAGGTGGAGTTTGAACTGTCTTGCTCTGTCACTAACGTAGCTGTGCGCCCATTACAATTAAATAAGCACGCAATTCTGATTTGACTACAGACGTCCGCTTCTTCTTAGTCAAGAGTCCTGTTATTGTACGGATTGTCTTTAATATCAATTCCATTTCCTGTGAAGGTGGGGAAACTAATCGGTGGTTCAAGTCAGTGGCTCAGCCAGCATCCCCCGTTTGGAGGTGGCTTGAGAATGGAGCATTGTGTGTTGGCACGTGCGAGCAGGCACGCCGCGGGCCCACGTGGAGCCGGAGGAGTTCCACCGGCGCGAGAGCAAGCAGATCAAGCGCGAGGACATGTCGCCCAAAGGGGGCGGCTACGAGGGTGTCCTCGGCAAGGGCAAGCCCTACGACGGGCCTCATACCATCAAGGAGACGGGCCGCTCCATCCATGAGCTCCCGCGAGCCGACGGCCGTAAGCCGGCCGAGACGGCGCAGCAACAGCAGCAGCGCCGCACCCCCGAGGTGATCCACGCGCCGACGCGGGTCCTGCACGAGGGCTCCATCGCACAGGTGACCACTCGTGCCTCCGCCATGTCCTCGCATTTCTGCAGCGATCGCTGTTAACAAGACTAGGAGAGGCAGCTGGGATGGGTTTTGGTTTCTCGCAGGTGCGGAGCTCCAGGTTCACGGCCGTTTGTACCCAGGGTACAGCAGCCCAAATGTATGCAGCTGTGTTTATAAATACACTTTGTTTTGTTGTGTGCGAATTTTTTACGTGCCAACGAAACCACCTGCGCTTGCGGTTCCCACTGTCGGGGTGCCCCCCAGCTGGTGGTCTGGCACAGCCGGTGTTGTACTTTGATGCTGAAATTTTTTTACAAATCGGAGCGTGTGTTCTTAGTCACGAGAGCACGTTTATACTGTAGATTCATACTATTCGGAAGAATTCTGCTTTTTGAAATAGCTTCTTATACCAAGAAGCGTTAATAATAAGCATGCACGAAGAAAACCAGAGAATGCGGCGGCAAGGCCATCCCTCGCGGTAGAGCGTCTATGGTGTGGGTGCCTCATTGCTCACCCAAGCTCTTCCCATTCACACTCCAGATTGCTGGGGTTCATGCTGGATCAAAAATCCAGCTTGCCACAGCTGTAAATTATGTGCTGGTAGGTCAAAAGAAATTGCACATTGAACCCGAGTACCCAATTGAAGAATTTTTCACGCATTTTTAACGCACGCACCAGACAGCGGCGATCGAGCGGGAGTTGAGCGTCCCCCGTCCGTGCGTGTGCGCGCGCATCACAGGGCACGCCGGTGAAATACGAGGGCAGCCTGAAGCACGACGTGAAGTCGCTGCTGGGCAGCCCGAGCCACCTGGCCCACGCCGGGCTGGCGCAGCACCTGCTCATGGCGGACGGCGCTCGCGCCGCGGAGAGGGGGGGTGGCGTGGGGGGTGGCGACGCGTCCTCACGGCAGTCGGGCGACAGGGGGGCCGGCGGTGGCGGCAGCGGCGGTGGCCGCTACGAGGAGGGCAAGCCCGAGGACCTGTCGCGCCTGCGCTCCACGTCCGTAGTGAGCGCAGCGCCGGGTTCGTCGGTGCTGAGGGGCGGCCCCCATGACGCCGGAAAGTCCCAGCTGAGCCCCGGCACGTACGAGGAGCAGCTGGCCACGATGCGCCTGCCCGTCGGCTACCAGGGCTCCATCGCTCGCTCGTCGCCCGCCCTCGTCCGCTCGTCTGAAGGTGCCGACCGCGGCCCGAGCATCACGGTGTGGGGAGTCTGACCGCCGGATCTTTGGTCACGGTGATGCCTGGTTTCATTAAACCGGGCTTAGTTTGTTATTGGCTGTTTAAAGGAAGATGCGGAAGAAAAAACACACTGCTCCCGTTTCGCAAGGTGGTGCCCAGGTTGTGTCTGCTGGGCTTTTCGGTGCACATTTTAAACTTTATAATGTTATTGTCATCAGACATCTTTTGGGTTCTTTCGGTAAAGTCACGTAGAATGGAGATAAAATAATAAAAATAATAATAACAGAATAAAATTCTCACGATGTTTCGGCCACAACACAAGTAGGCTTGGCTACAACACAAGTAGCCTTGGCTACTTGTGTTGTGGCCGAAACGTCGTGAGGATTTTTTTTTTAATTTTATCTCCATTCTACGTGACTACCGAAAGAACCCAGAAGATGAATCCCTGCAGTCACGAAGCCTTAAATCGAAAAATGTCATTAGACACTTTAGTGGCATGACTGCTTCTTCACTTCTGTGTTTGATAATACAACGTCACTGCAGTGAAGTCACTGGGGCATACCGCAAAGTCACATTAACGTACTTATTTTCCCTCGTTAATGTAGCCTGAAACTTTTGACAGTCTGGAACTCGCAACGTAGGGGCCCTTCTGCTTGATGGGATCTGTTTTTGGTTGAAGATTCCATTAAGGGAATGTGTATTTAATCTCATTTTTAATTTCCCTGTGGAAAGATTCCAAAAATTCTGATGCAGCAACTGTTGTTAAAAACAGCTGAGGTTGCGTTTTTCCGACATAAATCGTTGGCACCCACGTAGTCAATAAGAAAAATCCTCCCAGAGAAACTGAGAAAAAGGAATTGGCTTGGCTGAGGGTGTTTTTTTTTTACTCTGGCTCATCACGGTGGCCTGATTGATGATGTCACTAAAAATTCTTAAAGATTCTTAAATGCCGGGGAAGAGAATTCTGTTCTTGCGGATCGTGCGGGTGCGGACCGACATTAATCGCAGAAAAAAAACAACAACTCTCTTTCAGGGAGCATCACGACGGGCAAGCCCGTGTCTCACGAGCGCAAATCTACGCCCACGCCGCGCGACAACGCCGCGCCCAAGTCTCCGGGCGCGGTGCAGGAGCGTGCTGGCACGCACAGCCCCTACGACACAGCGATGCGCGACATATACCGTGCGCACCTCCCGCTGGGCTTTGACCCCGCCAACGCCGTCTACCACCCGGCCTTCCTGCAAGGCGAGCGTCATTGCACCCCGCACCCCACGCGGCGCGCCCGCCCACCGTAAAGAAATTCGGACGGAAGGGGGGCTTAATCACCTGCCTTTCGGAATCGCATCCAATCTTGGAACTGAAGTTTTGGGCGGCCGCTATGGTCACAGGGCCGCAGGCCTACGTGGTGGGCAGGAGAAGCCACCACAGCATGGTCCCCTTGTTGTACTGTGATTCTGTGCTCCCTCTCGTCACTAACCGGCACTGACCAGCGTGGTGAAGTATGGTCACATAACACTTGAAGTGACGGCATTGACCGAATATGTATATCCTCCAAATGGTTTAGCATTCTGGTTTCTCAGATGATCACTGCCAAGGGCATTCTTTGAAAGGTCATGGAGCATGGCTGCTGCTGTAACGGTGGTTCCTGTTGCAGCTGTGTATTGGCAACTCGAGTGCTGTGTAATGAAGTGTTGGAGCCTGCGAGTGAGGGAGATGGGTGAATGCGCGGGGTAGCAAGTGCAGTTGTTGACGCTCGTCTCTGGTATTGCGGTTATCTTTAGCGGTTGGGCCTTACGCTCTTAACCCCGCAGCTCAGGGATACTTGATGGCGCGGCCTGGGACGGTGGGGGCCCGACAGCTGTCACCGGGCCCGGCCTACCCGGGTGCCTACCAGCTGTACCACCACCACCCGCACGTGTTCTCCGAGTCGGCGGCCGTCATGGAGAACCGGCAGACACTGCTCAACGATTACATCACCTCGCAGCAAATGCTGCGTCCCGAGGTGGGGGGCCGGGGGCTGTCCCCCCGCGACGTCCCCGTCACCGTCTCCGCCTACCCCCTCCACCCAAGTACGCGCGCGCACGCATGCACGTATGCATGCGCACACGCCACAAACTCGCTTTTTAGACATCTCTTAGAACTCGAGCGGCCGAGTTTGTATCGCTCTGCTCAGAACTCAAGCGACAGCTCTATTGAGTCTCAAGACTTTTCTAGGAAGGTCCTGCTAAGTGAGGATGTTTGGCCAAGTCCTTTTTAATTAAGAACCGTTTGTGCTATGATCTTGTCAGAGACCTGATGCTAAGCAGGGTCCAGCAGGGTTAGTACTTAGAGGAGTCGTAGGCTTGGGCTTTAATGTGGCCAGGAGATTTCAGGACATTGGATCTTGTGCGGAGCTTCGATTGTTACGCCTTCATATGTGTAGGTGTTCTCCAGGTGCTGCAGTTTCCGGGTGCTGCAGTTTCCTCCCACGCGTAGCCAAACTCTCATTCCAGTAATTACCAAACATTGTAATGCAGCACCCTCCTGAGAAAGTCTGAGCCTCAGGCTCCCTGGCTAAATAAGGCCCATTACTATTATGTTATCTTTATAGTTGACACAGCTACACGACTTGCAGTGCCCTGATCGTGAATTAAGAACAGAAATGGACGATTCCCTTCTGGATTCTACAGCCGTGCGCATTGTGTGCTCTCAGGCATCATCAACCTCGCCCAGATGTCGCACCACCCCATGCTGGTGCCGCAGTCCGGAGGCACCAGCACGCCGCCCATGGACCGCATCACCTACATGCCCGGCACCTCGCCCGCGTTCAGCCGCCCCTACACCGCCTCGCCCCTCTCGCCCGGTGAGCGCCACCGCCCCGCGGACAGCTCCTGTCGTAGCACCGCGCCCGGTTCATGACCGCGGATGGTGGCCAAGTCGTTCGGCACCCCTGGGATCCTGGGTTTGAGTTTGATTACACCACCTTCTCAGCTGTAGCGGGTTGATCATCTCAGCCCAGGTGCCAATGACTGCACAAACAAAACCACCATAGGACATTTGAATTTTCATGTACTTTGAATAATTTCCAGCTCTGAGACTTCAAACAAAATTGATTTCATTGACATGACAGGCTAAATAAATGGTGTGCTCCCGAGTGTGGTTGAAGGGCCCTAGTGAAGTGACATCATCTTCTGGAGCTATTCTCTGATACAGGGTGGTGCACTCAAGGGAATGTCTTCGCCGTACGGTGGCACAGTTGCTATGTCATTGACGGCGCCGTGCTTGATGCGTGGCGCTGTCTCCGCAGGCGTGGACCCGACGGGGCTCTACGCCAAAGGGTCTCCATCACCCGCGTCCCCGCGCCCCCGGGAGAACGTCATCCAGAGGCCGAGCATCGTGCAGGGCACGGGCAAGACGGTGATCACGTCCACCGAGTCGCTCGTCCACTCACGGCCCGGGTGAGCGGCTCTCCTCTCGCTTCCCTCGCTGTCCGCCGAGACGGAATCGGACTCGCTGCTCTGTAGTGCGCTTCAACGTTTGTGAGATGCACCTAAATTAATGTGCAATGTCTCTGTTGATAGTGTTTTGCATTTGTGGTGTCCCAGAGCCAGACTTTTCGGAATACTGCTGTGTTCATTTGTCACGGAGAAATGTATAGAGTTGAGGTTGCTGGTGGGAGTGCTGCTGTGGTAGTAAATTTTGGGTGTGACTTTTCCTACAGGTCTCACGGGCTGGAGGTTTCGGCCAACGCCCAGGGAGGCGGGATGCAGTCGCGCTCCAACTCGGAGCATTACAAGGGCAAGGAGGGCAAGGCCGAGTCGTTCTCCGGGCGGAGGGAAGAGTACCCGTCGTCGCGCAGCAAGTCCCAGCACTCGGGTGCAGAACCCCATGCGGCCGTCAAGTCTCACCACCCGTACCCCGACGGGCAGGCCGCTGCTGCCGCCGCCTTGTCGGCGCAACACGAATCCTGGCGCCGGGTGGAGCTGGCAAACAGGCAGCAGGAGCACAGAGCTGAACACAGGACGGAACACAGGACGGAGCACAGGCCCGAACACAGGCCCGAAATAGCGAGCTACCACACGTCGGTGCTGAGCACGGCGCAGTCGGTGCGCCCGCTGCCCTCGCTGTCGTACGCCTACAGCGAAGTGGGTGGCGGGAAAGAGCTGCGCACGGCTGCACACTACGCCGAGCAGCAGCAGCAGGCCGGCCAAAAGGACGTGCGCTCGCAGGCCGTGGCGCAGCAGCAGCAGTTCTCTGACGGTAGCGCTGGTAAACAGCGGGGTCAGGCCATGCAGCCTATGACTCAGTACCCCGACGTTAGCAACAGCAGCGGCAAGGAGCGACCACAGACTAAGCCCTTGTCGCGGCACGAGCAGGAGCTGCGAACCCATGGTAAGACTACGATGACGGCGGCAAGCTTCATTGATGCTGTAATCACTCGGCAGATTTCCACGCACGCTGTGCACGCCGCGCCTGGGGACGGTAAGGCTCAGCCCGGCACGGCGACCCCACCCTTCCACCTGTGGTCGTGGTTGTCACCCTTACACAGCCCCTTTGTTCCCCTTCCACGCACCACCCTGCCCCCCCCCCCGCTGTGTCCGAGCCATCCGTGCTGTCCGTGTGCATGTGCCACGATTTGTTCATTCGTCTAGGGCATCAGTGAGGATGGCGAAGAGCGCGAGTTAATTTGGCACGCGACGAGTCAGCCACTGCTCCAATTGAAGAATGACGTTTTTTTGCCTCATTGGCACTGTCTTAATTTATTACGCATTAGTTCACCTGAAGGTGGTAACAACCGCATTAAATGTGCGCAAGTTAAAACCAACTTGTTCCTGCGCACACACTTTGTGATGCGCGCATCACGTGAAGATCGATTTTACTCGATGAATCCACGCTGCCCTCGTATGACCGTGGTTGCGCGAGTGATAACGTTTGTGTTGAACATGGAAGAGGCGAGAGAGGCTCCTCAACAATTGGCGCCTTGTGGCCGAGAGGCTTGTGTGGAGCCGCAGCACCGCCTGGCAGGGAGTGTGGAGTTGACTCCTGCGCACTGGCCACCGCCACAGTGGTCACCCTCTTAAAGGGTCTCCGGTTGCGGGTGCTGAATGTGTTCACACGAATTAGACTTTCGTATATTGCTGAACGGATGAACAAATGAGATGCCTTTTTTTACCATGGAGATGCATGTATAGGATGTGGTCATAATAGACACCCGTTAAAAAAGTGTGATCATGTGTCCGGTTAACTCCACTGTGATGAAATTACGGTGTTTGGGAGACACCCGCCTAATCGCGCAATTGAATGTACAAAGTCACCGTTTCGGCTTTTCTCGTGTCGGAATGTGCAGACATGGTCGACGGGCACCATAAACGCCGATGCCTCACCGTGTCACATCGCGCCGGCAGTGATCTCGTACTTTCGTTACTGTGGAGTCGCCCATCTCTGTCACATATAAGACAAAAGTAAAAGTCTCAATGATCTCCTGCTCAAACGAGCATTGAGGCATTGGTGCTAATCTCATGCTTACAGCCCTGAGACAGTGGTGGAAATTCCACATTCCTATGCCAGGGTGAGTCTGTCCTCAGGACAACCACTTTTGACTTCACCGCAAAGTGGTACTGGTGTTTTTAACCCCCGGAGGGATGATGGACAGTCAACCTCTGATCAGGATTTTTACGTGTAACCTTCCCATTGTGAGCCGCTCGCTCTGTACCGCTGAGACGCCTGGCCGAAAATATCACCTGTATCATGAGTGAATGTCAGCGTTAATGAGGTGTCTTAAAAATGCTCAGTGGCCCTGTTACCTGTGCCGGTATTCTTCAAGGAACAATCCTGAAAAGCGCCCGACGCGTGTACACAGTTGCGTGTGCCACTTGGACTCGTCCAGATTAGCCTACGTTGGCGACGTTCCTCGGGTTCTTCGACCTGCACTTAAACGACGAAATCCACACACACACACGTGTCCCTCTTAACGATGCTGTGTGCGCGAGCAGCATACTTGAGTAAGTAGTAGCTACTGGATTAGGCAGCGCTGTAACCCGGCTGGCACTGCTTGAATTTGGCCCCGTCGCGTCGGGGAGCGGTCGACGCGTAACAGTTGGCCACCCCCCCCTGCCCAGCAGATCCGATGAATTGTCACGATCCAAGGTTGCGATTCGATTCAAGGATATATTTTTCATCTCGTTGTGGTTCACCTTTGTACAGTTTTGGCCGCTCCTTCAGCCTAAATGTACATGAGCATATCGTGATTAAAACTAAAAATAATCTACCCGTGTATCTTGAGCACGAGAATCTATTTAAATCATGGAATCGAATCATGACATTTGCAAGTCACCACATTAGTCCTCTCATGAATATTGGTTTAGTCGCCCATTCACATTTGTAAAATCAACTCAAAACATTCGTCGCTGACACTGTGTGTGCAGTCAACGAGCGTGAGTTTTTGTTATTGTGCACCACTGCCAACGCCGCAGCAGCATCACCAAATCATTAGCGTGTGTGGTGATGCATGCTAGCCAGGGCTCAACTTCTCTCGCAGTGTTTAATGGGTCACTGTGGTGATCATGTGACTCATACTAGATGTGCTGTGTCGGTTACGGAAATGTTTTCTTGATCACCAACCCGGACATCCCCATCTGAAATGAATCCCCGATCGTGCCCCCATGAAGCTCGAGCAGAGCCTTGAGCCGCATGACTTTGTCTCACGCCGAACGACCCATTGCGCAACTCGGCTGCATGCAATCGCATCGCTTGGGTGCGGGCGTCTCTGTTGCGAGTTGCGAGCAGTCGCGGCGCAGCCCGTTGCTCACACTCGAGACAGACTCTGACTTGCAAGCCACCTCCTCGGCCATTTTCTAGCGAAGTAGTTGATTATTAAATGCACATTTGAGAACGACGCACGATTGGTTGTTAGTCGTGTTGTGGGTGGGTAGGGGTAGTCGAGGTGACCAGAAAATGGGCGTGCTTATGCTCTAACCGGTGTGGCCAGCTGTGCCAGACGCCTTATAGTTTACCTCGCTGCACAACTCCCTGGTTCGGTTGTGTGGACACGTCTTTACGCTGGCAGCCGTTGCGGCCAGCCGGGCGAGACGGGCTGCCGTTACAGCCAGCGCGCTTGTCTCCCAACAGCCGCTCAGCAGCAACAGCAACAGCAGCAACAGCAGCAACAGCAGCAACAGCAGCAACAGCAGCAGCACCGCTACCAGATGGGGGGCGCGGATGGCATTGAGATCATCAGCCCCCCGTCGACGCCGACGCCGCCACGGCACGAGATGCCCAGGGCGCAGCGACAGCACATGGACGGTGAGACAACAACAACGGCACACGGCCCTCCAGGATGAACGGCCGGCGATCATGCACAGCACCTGGAGTCTCTGTTTGGAGTTGGCGCAGCGCTGGTGTGGAAGCCGAGATTCCCTTGCATTTGTCTCTGACCCAGCAGCGTTGGCAGAAGGAGGAGGAGGGCAGCCGTGGCTGCAAGAGGGCCGGCCCCACCACCCCGAGTCTGGGCGGATGCAGCACCGAGTCATTACCTTGGCCGACCACATTCACGTGAGTCACGTGTGTCAGACAGTCGCAACCCGTGGATGTGTGTTGTCATTGTCTGCGTCTGCGCGCACGCCCCTTTTGTAAATCCGCTGGTGGATGAGGGTCTTGCCCCACGCCGTGTGGGGCATGAGGGCTTGTGAACACTGGCATACGTGGGAGTGTAGACGTGCAACAGTGGATGTTGCTGCGCTGCCCATCGTGTGGGTCGGTCGAAGGGGGGCGCCCGGGATCTGTTCAGATATGTATGTACGTATGTTGAACTTCTCTCGCACTATACGTAGCCAACCGCGATAATCGGATGTGCCCAATGTCATTAGCTTTGTCCTAGAAACGAACTCAGGTCGCCCAGTTCAAAGTACATTGCATTCATGACCGCGCCACGGATCCACGCCAGAGAAGGCGCAATGACATGTTTACGCACGGTTTTGTCGTTTCAGGAAATCATAACGAAAGATTATCAAAGCGTCGGGGCGCCTCTTTCTCAAGCCACTTCGCAGCAAGCGCAATACTTATTCCCTGGGTCGGGCCGGCTCAGGTGTGTGCGGCCACGCAGGCACGCACGCACGCACGACACACACACGCACGGCACACGTCCACACACATAGTTGCCACTCAAAATTGCCGCTTGCACGCGTGGGGTGCGAGCGGCGTCCGGGACATGCCCGTGACTCGGGGCTGCTGTTATCTTCAGGCCTGGCAAGTCTCCAGAGAGGAGTGGGATTTCCCCAGCCAACCCCGAGGTGCTCATCGAGCCAATCTCACCCCCGCAGCAGCAGCAGCTGGCGGGCTCAGAGCGCTCTGACGGCGCCCCCAGCCTGTCCCATCGCGACGGGGACGACCACGGGTGCGTTCACACGACCTCTCGGCCAATGGCGCCAGACGTGGCGCAGCCCGGTCCGGGAATCTGTGAAAAAATATTTTCGGTGCAAGGATTTGAGATAAAATCCTGTGCTTTGATAGATCGTTTCTCCTTCCCTGCACCGGTCACCAGTCGAGTTTCTGCTGTGATGTTGACTCACAAACCAGGACTGTGGGGAACCTTTTCCTTACTTGGGGTCCAATAGAGTCACACGCATTAACACACACCCCAGCGTCCTGCAATAACAATGCGGAAGGCAACGCACTTGTTGATTGGCTAAAAAGGTGCCCTTACAGTGACAGAAGTGATGCAGCGTGGCACTAACATTGGAAGCACGGTGTGGTTAACAGGCAGAATATTTTCCCCTCTCGTACCCGATTAGTGTGCCTAAGATACTTGCAATGGTGAATTAATGTAATATGTAGACCGTTTATAAGTGGTAGGCCCCGTTCATCCGTGGACCACGAGTCCCCACTCCTTTACTAAACCCATAGATTTCCGCTGGTGCGTGCGGTGCGCTAAGACCGCTGTGTGGTGATGTTGTTGTGGCCGCTGGCGTAGGTCGTCCGCCTTGAGGCAAGGCTCGCCGCACCTCGGCATGAGCGTGCCAGCTTATTTCCGCAACCTGGACGAGAACAGCTCGGCCATCGTGAAGACCAAGAAGCAGGAGATATTCCGCAAGCACAGCTCGGCGGGCAGCAGCGGGGAGCCTGAGATGGGTGCGTGAAGCCGACTCTCACTGCCCTGCCCCCGCCCACTCGTGGCCCATGTCCCAGTCTCTGTCACCGTTTTACGCTTCAGCCGGCGACGTAGCACAGCGGTGACGCAGAGGTTCCCGGTTTGAATCGAGAGGGACTGCCCTCATCATTCTCCGGTGTCATCAGAATCATAACATTTATTTATGCTGGAGGAATCCGATGAGCTATGAAGCACTCTTTCACAGATGGTCCATTAAAAACAACTGTGATAAGGTGACGTGTCGTCTGCTTCTCACAGTGGACATTAAAGATCCCTTGACGTCATTCGCAAAGCTGGGCCGTCATGTGCCGGCTTCAGGGTCCAAAGCAAATTCGAACATTACACCGTAAATGATTCAATTGGGCCCTACTGTACATAGCAATCACCGTCTCCTTCTGGCAGACTAAGGCCCAGGTCACTTATGGAAAATTAGCTTATTGTGGTCTTATGTGTTCTCATCTGGTTAAACAAAATAAACTTGAAACACTTCACCATATCCCTGCATGAAATAATTAACCTGACGTAACAATGTATGACCAAACATCGCCTCCAAAAAGAGTTTGTTGGCTCTAAATGAGAACACACGCGTAGGCTGCATTGGCGTGTCGCAATCTATAACTCAAGCGCATGTGCGTGCGTGTGTGTACGTGCGCGTACAGCAGTGCAGCCGGGCACGGAGATTTTCCACATGCCCGTGACCACGTCCTCAGGTGAGAATTTGCCCCACCGCCTCATGCATGCCAGGCCACGAGACGGGGGCCAGTGCTCGTGCTGACTGTCGGGAGGGGGTGAGGGGGGAGGGAGGGGGGCGGGGTTTGGGGGGAGTTGAGCCCTTTGAGATGCACGGAGACGCCGTGGGGGACACGGCGCCGTGCCGGCCTGACCACGGCTAACGTCGGTGGCGAGCTGTATCGGGACCGTGCCTGGGCGACCCACCCCCCCCCCCATCGCTCACCGTTTCACCAACCCGCATTGACCGGCATGGTGGTGTACGGTCAAACAATCTCCATGACCCACACGGTGTGGCGAGGTCTTCATCCAGCAGTGGATTGACAGAGGGCTGTGAATAATCGTAACGAAGGTGGTCAAATCCCAAACGCCTGCTGGGCTTGACCCTTGGCAGTGGATGTGTCGGCCTTTGCCTAAATCCGTTGCACATATCCCTGGAGCAGTTCTAAACACAGTGATGACGTCTTTAGTGGAAACGAGCTTCAGCTAATTGGGTACCAATTAGACGACGTGCAGAGTGGGTACAACGACAGGTAGGGCAAGACGTTGCGTGGCCGCCCGTGTTGCTGCGTCTGGTCCACGGCTGCATGCTGCGCGTGATTGCGTCGGGAGTTGCTTCGCTGCTTGTGTGCGCATGTTCCGGTGACGAGTTGTGGCCGTTACTTTTGCTGAACGCTGACTCTTCTCTTTTTCCTTGTTCCTTACTGTCTATACCGCACTCCCGTCCGTCTCCTCTGTACCCCCCCCCCCCCCGCGTGCCGTGCGCTGGCCGCCGCCGTGTCCTCGCGTCGTCCTCTTGGCGAGATCGTTGCGCCGCTTCATTGCATGCCGTGTTTTGTGCTTCCGCTTTTGTTTTTCCTTCCTGCTCCTCCTGTTCTCCGTCTCCCAGGAGCAGTCAGCTCTAGGAGTCATTCCTTTGCAGATTCTGTGGGGCCCATGGGCCTGGAGGCCATCATTAGGAAGGCCCTCATTGGCAGCTTTGAGGATCAGAGCGAGGAGGCCTCGGCCATGTCGGCGGTGGCGGCGGCCGGAGTGGGGGTCATGCCCGGCCTAGCGGGGGTGTCGCCTGCGCTAGATGGACGAGGCCAGCAGGCCCTCGGCCCCTCCCCTTCCTCCTCCTCTGCACAAGGTTCGGGCGTTGGGCTCCGTTTGCCTCTCATTTCTCGCTGCATCCTGTTTGATTGTTGTCACTGTGTTGCCTGAAGCGCACGGTTCGCGAGGATTGCCGTTGTGTAGAGCTGTAATCTTGTGACGTTGTTTGTAGCCGAAACTGTTGCTGCGTCTTTGTTTAAGCTTCATAACTCTTTGAGTTACAAAATCGAGCATGCTTGCTGTACGGCTCGGACAGAAGTCACACTCGCTGGCAGTAGCCAATCAAGTTTACCAAAGATTAGGTATGTTAACGGTTCGCGGTGCATGCGTCAAGTTGCGTGAATGTCAATGTTTCTTTTGTTACCTTTCGGCTAATTGTTATGGCATTGGTGATTTTGATGGTGCTGGTGATTCCAGTATTGATGGTGATGATGATGGGTGTGCATTGCAGCGAGCTCTCTCAAGGTGAAGCTGCCAAGCAGGCCCAGTGCCAGGAAGGCCAAATCTCCAGGGCCGGCACAGTCATACGCGGAGCGGCCCTCATCGGTCTCCTCGGTACACTCGGAGGGCGATAACAACCGCAAGACTCCGCTCACGCACCGCGCCTGGGAGGACAGACCCTCGTCCACGGGTGAGCGAGTCGGCGTTGCGAGGGTTTCGTTTCCGCCAGGTCTGTCCGTGACCCGGAAGATTTTTCCACACCGGGCACAACTGCATCCAGTATACCCGTGGCTGTGGCTGCTGCTTGTCACGTGCCACCAGCTCCAGTCGAACCGCGACCCAGAAACGAAAACCCTGGTTGCGACCTGTCGGTGGGGATTCTTTTTGGTGCTCTGTGTCGCTGTGCGTGGATGGGCCTTTGACAATCGGTGTCCCCGTTCTGATTCCGTGCGGCCACGAGAGGTGTCTTTGTTCCTGACAATATTTGAAACAAGAATCCATTCGTGAATTTTAACTCCAAATTCATGGCAATTCATAGAATGTCGGGGGTGGAGAATCAAGATAGATGTTATCAGCAACGGCTTCTAATGCAAAAATATATCATAGACAAATGTTTCTGGTAGTGGAGGGTGCAGAAATTTACTTAGTTGGATGGCTCACTTGCCACTTGCCACTCGATGATTAGTAGCTTGTCGTGCGATGTCGCTTATTTTGTGGTGACCTGGGCAGTCCAGCCGGCGTGGGTTATAACCACGCTGCCTTCCATGCGCAGAGAGTGATCTCGCCCTCTTGTGCCGCCGCCCCACTTCCCGCAGGATCCACGCCGTTCCCCTTTAACCCCCTGATGATGCGACTGCCGAGCAGCACGCCCCCCTCCGCCCTCACGCAGGCGCCGGCCGCCGTGAGTCAGGTGGCCTCGCCGGCGCCACCACCGCCGCCGCCTCCTCCTCCGCAGCGCACGTGGGAGCGGGAGCCGGCGCCGCTGCTCTCCGCTCAGTACGAGACGCTGTCGGACAGCGACGACTGAGCCCCCGCTCGCTCCTTCGCTCGCTCGCTCCTCCTCCGCCGCCGCCCCGTGGGGTCGCCCGGGGGTCACCCGCGCGGACGCCGATCTGCACGACGACCGGAAAATACGCGCTTCACACGAAACCACGTTCATTTCCGAAAGCTGAATGAAACCCCCGCCGCATGTGCGATGCTCGTGCCGGCGCACGGGGGGCTCGCCCGCCTCGCCCGCCTCGCCCGGCTCCTTTAATGCCAAAGCAAAGCGCCGTCAAGACTCCGGCGATGAACAGGGTGCGTTGCGGGCAAGCGTCTGCGCCGAAGCTCCCTCCGGGACAGTCACAGCGCAAGCCCCCTTCCCCCCCCCCCACCCCCTCTCTGCGGCGCTAGAGGGTGGCACCGAGCAGGCGTCTCGTCCTACCCGGAGACGCGGTCGCCGCCTGCTCGTCCAGACACATCTTCAGATTATATATTGGGTCAAAAAAGTATAAAGTACAGCTTAGTTTTGTATTTGTATATACGTGTATCTTTTATCTTGTTTTCTTTTTCATACGGTCTTTCATGAATTTATTCAGAGCTGACTGCACACGTTATTGTACCTAATAGCAACTGTACAGGAAAAGCAAAGCGGCACCCGGTTTAGTTGGCGTCGAGCGTTTGTGTGATGCCCGTTGGTATGACGCGCTCCCCGGCCGGGTACTATGTCTGCTGTGGAGATGCGCTAACGCGTCAATCGTTGTTTTTAGAGTTCTCTTTAATGACCAACGCACCTCCATCGCAAGACATGTTCTTGTTCGGAACTCTTTGCCGCAGGTCCACCCTCATTAATTAGCCGACGTGATCTCGTTAACATTGGAATGTAAATTTAACACTGGACCCGAAGCCACCTGATCACAAAGCCAAACTTTGGAGAAGATGAAGAAGAGGAGGAGGAGGAACAGGCGCATAGCAGCACTGCCTGTATTTCTGTTTTTACTCCGTGACGTCGCTCAGCCCGGCCTAGACAACGTGAAGTGGAACCCAGGCGCAGACGCGAACCTCTCCCCAACGGCGTACCCTCTGTGTCTCGTTTTTATTTTGCTGTAGTAAACGTGATGGCGAAGATGGCTTGATCCACGTAGTGTTTCATCTGACGTAATAAAAGGTTAACATTTTATACGTACACCGCGAGACCGTGACTGGGACTGACGACGTGGGGCGGTTGCCGAGCCTCGTGGCTCACGCTTCTCTGCCGGTGTGTGACGGCCCCGCCAGTGTCACGGCCCCGTCGGTGTCGCGGCCCCGTCCGTGCCATCTGGGCAACGAGCGATAAAACGCAAAGCTTTGCCAGGGACACGTTGGGCAGTGGGGTACACGAGCACAATACCAGCTACAACACCCGTCTGTTAAGGGAAGCCTCCACTTAAGATATTCTTAGGCTATATTCTTATATCTGTAAAACTTTCAATTTACGGATACTTCACATGTAGCAGCAATATTTAGGACATTCCTGCCATTGGCCACGCAGTGCCACGGAAACATGGGGGGACGCACAGACACCGCGTGGGTGGGCCGTGATCTCGGTTCCCACGTGCAATATTTTTTTTACCCCAGATGTTTCCAACAGGTGGCAGGCGTATCACGCGATCAAGCGGGGGGACGCCCTTGCAGGACCGCACATCAGCAGAGCGGCGAGCCGTTGACGTGCGTTCACGGAGACGCCGTGTGATGGCAGCAGTGTAACGTTTACAAGCGTGCGGAACGGATGCGATCGCCATGGTGTTGAGCGATGATGAACGTGACGATAAAAATGATGATAAAATTGCTCGACCAGTTTGTAGGCTTCAACTTGATGAGCGTAGGTTGCTCGTGTCGAGAGGTTGGTTGTGGATGACGGGCGAGAAGACGTGAAGCTGGTGGTGTTGGGGACACGCGTGAGAACGTTTCGCGTTAACCCGTGACAACGTCACTTTGTGAACGGTTGTGTGGCCCAGTGGCTGCCAAAAATATTCACGGTGCGTAATGTTTAAACTGCAGTCGGGACTCTTGAGGAAAATTGTGAGTTTTTCTTAAAAGGCTCACAAATCTGGGCGTCCTCCTCGTTGGCGAGCCGCTCCGTGCGACTGCATCAGGAGTTTGTAGTTTTCGTGTACTCGTCTGAAGGGGCTTCCCGGGCGTGAATCCCCATCACAGAAGCAGCCAGCGGACGCATTTTTCGGCTCGCCAAGTTCATCGTCACAGCCGGCCGGACGAGCGCTCAACCCCACAACACACGCACTGTATATACTCAATCCTTTGGTTCTTTCGGTAAAGTCACGTAGGTAAAAATAAAATAAAACAAAAATGAAACTCAATTAAATCACGACGTTTCGGGCGCAACACAAGCGCCCGTCATCAGGTGGGACAACAGTTAGAAACAACTGCTGAACTGGGCAAGAAATCTGCAGTGAAACAAGACGCTATGTAAATAAAGAGAGGGGTGGGAGGAGCCAAGGAGGAGATAGAGTGGGGGGGGGCGTAGGAAGATCAAAGAGAAAATGGAAGACACTAAACATGCCGAACACGCTACAATGGACAACATGACACTAAACTGTTGTGTCCCACCTGATGACGGGCGCTTGTGTTGCGCCTGAAACGTCGTGATTTTATTTAGTTTCATTTTTGTTTTATTTTATTTTTACCTACGTGACTTTACCGAAAGAACCAAAGAATATGGATCCTTGCGGTCACGAAAACTTCAAATCTAGAATCCTCAATCCTGTTGTGGGCCGACGTCGTGGGCTATGACCCTTCTTCAGAGGTGGAGAGGGGCGGTAGGCTGACTTGGTCGACTCTTCCAAACCTCCCCGGGGTCACGGGGTGGAGGAGCCACGCCTGATGGGGCCTGCACTGCGCCAAGTTGCTGTGCGCACAACGCCGAGAGCATGTGTCGGAGAGGCGAATTGTCTCCTTGACGGGGTTTTTCTTCTGTTCAACCTATAACCGCATGGAAAACCGGTTGCCGAAGCACCGCACGTGTTAAAATATATATCGTTAAACACAACGCGCTTTAGTTTTTAACTGAGAGACCTGGGGGGCTGTCAGAGCAGGGGTTGGTGGTTAACAGCCCAGTGGCCTGCAGTCCAGTGGACTAGGTGGGACGAGTGTGCATGACGCCCTCCCCCTGTCCACCCAGCAGTGCAGTGAGCACAGCAGAGCTCGCTGATTTATCGGCCAGGCTGCGTGTGGTGGGGGTCAAGTGTAGGTGCGCCCACCTATTCCAACGCGTCCGGTCAGCGTGGAATAGTCGAAAAGTAGATGTACCCTTTGGACTCCCCCCCCCCCCGTGCCTACCACCACCAGCGACATGAGTGGGAAATTGCAGGGCTGCACCCTTTATCTTGTTTTTACCTGGAGCGCCAAGCGAGCAGCGTGTTCGCGTCTCGCATTCCGCAGGCGCCAGCTGTTTGCCGGTTCCCCTAACCGTTGAAACCGGTAACCGATCGTGCGAGCAGTTACCGGTTTCCCGGTCGTGTTTTGACAACCCCTTGGTAGCATACCGCTCACGAGACGGTGCGTTGCCGCACAGCGCGGATAGACCTCGTGGAATGTGATCCGGGGGAAGTGAAACTGGCCCACGACGCCGCGTGGTACGTGGCTGACTGATGGACACTGGTGGAGTCTTGTGTGAAACAACAAAATAATTGTTTTATATATTTTATTCTTTTGTTGTTTCTCTTCAACGTGACTTTACCGAAAAAACTAAGAATATGAATTACTGCAGTCACGAAAGCTTTAAATCAAAATTTTGGTGGACAACTTGGTGAACTCTCGTGTTTGGCCGAGACGAAAAAAACGCCATCCAACCCCAGTAGGGACCTGGGCACAGACGCCACGCAGCGGGGCCGCTGCTGCCGCCTGCAGCGCGTTGTTCATTTACGGTTGCGCCAAGTGGATCATCACGGTCTGCAGGAGGTTGTTTTGACTCTCACAACACGGAAGGCATCGCGCGGCGTCACTCACTCACTCGTCGGCCATCTACCTCCACTTCTCCGCTGTGATTCGGTCTACACTAAACGACTCTTGGAACTTGACCGCGAGTCGTGGAACGCGACGAGCCTCGTGCGGTGTGGCCCGTTCGAAAGGGCCGGAAGAGGATCGTGAAGTGGTGATGCTCACGCACCGGTGGTGTGAGGGTGACTGGTGATCGTACATGGTGGTAAGGGTGACAGTGGTGAGGGTCACACACGGTGGTGAGGGTGACAGTGGTGAGGGTCACACGCTGGTGAGGCCGACTCAGTGGTGAGGATCACACACGCTGGTGAGGGTCACTCAGTGGTGAGGGTCACACACGCTGGTGAGGGTCACTCAGTGGTGTCGATCAGTCACTGAACCATGTCGGAAGACGACGACCTCTGCTGCCAGATCTGCTGCGAACCTTTCGACGAGGGCCCGTACAGCCCGCGGATCCTCGGCTGTTGCCTCTACAACCTCTGCCTGCAATGCGTCAAGAACCTGGAAGCTAAGCAGAAGGGCTTCGTCACCTGCCCCGCGTGCCGGACCGAGCACGACGTGGAGGGAGACGTGGAGAAACTCCCCTTCAACGTGCTCGTGCTGAGGAAGCTACGCGCCCCGGACAAACCGGATCCAACCACAGGTAGGGCAAGACGTTGTGTGGCCGCCCCGTGTTGCTGCGTCTGGTCCACGGCTGCATGCTGCGTCTGATTGCGTCGGAGTTGCTTCGCTGCTTGTGTGCGCATATTCCGGTGACACTTCTCTTTTTCCTTGTTCCTTACTGTCTATACCGCACTCCCGTCTGCCTCCTCTGTACCCCCCCCCCCCCCCCCCCCCGCGTGCCGTGCGCTGGCCGCTGTCGCCGCTCAACCCGCGGCCGCCGTGTCCTCGCGTCGTCCTCTTGGCGAGATCGTTGCGCCGCTTCATTGCATGCAGTGTTTTGTGCTTCTGCTTTTAATTTTCATTCCTGCTCCTCCTGTTCTCCGTCTCCCAGGAGCAGTCAGCTCTAGGAGTCATTCCTTTGCAGATTCTGTGGGGCCCATGGGCCTGGAGGCCATAATTAGGAAGGCCCTCATTGGCAGCTTTGAGGATCAGAGCGAGGAGGCCTCGGCCATGTCGGCGGTGGCAGCGGCCGGAGTGGGGGTCATGCCCGGCCTAGCGGGGGTGTCGCCTGCGCTAGATGGACGAGGCCAGCAGGCCCTCGGCCCCTCCCCTTCCTCCTCCTCTGCACAAGATTCGGGTGCTGGGCTCCCTTTGCCTCTCGTTTCTCGCTGCGTCCTGTTTGGTTGTCACTGTGTTGCCTGAAGCGCACGGTTCGCGAGGATTGCCGTTGTGTAGAGCTGTAATCTTGTGACGTTTGTAGCTGAAACCGTTACTGCGTTCTTTGTTTAAGCTTCATAACTCTTTGAGTTACAAAATCGAGCATGCTTGCTGTACGGCTCGGACAGAAGTCACACTCGCTGGCAGTAGCCAATCAAGTTTACCAAAGATTAGGTATGTTAACGGTTCGTGGTGCATGCGGTCCGGACCATAAGCTGGGTCCCGGACCGTGTGGCTAGAGGCTTCTTCTCCCCAACGTGGATCTTCCAACACCAACACTTGAAGAACCCTGAGCTCCTCATAGAGCTCTCCTTGTATGCTCCGGGGCTGGGGCTGGCTCCGCCCTTAGGCTTCTCAAGCTTCTCGAATGTTCCCGAGAGGTCCTCGGTACCACGTGACCGCCCCTCGGCCCCCGTCTACCGGTGGCCCCCCTCGAGTCCGTGACACCGGTCCTCCAGACGGGTTGGGCTCGACTTCCTTGGGAAGGCCGGGGGGAGCAAGAAATCGACCCGACGTAGCCGGCTCCTCACGCAGAGCAGTAGGCCGGGTTGTCGGGTCCTTGGCCTTCCGAGCACGCGAGGCCGGCACGAGCGGCCGTATGCGAGGCAGCAGTCGTGCGGCGCCTGGGGGCGGAACAGAGACACTCTCCTGAGGATCCGCATTGGCAGACGCACGCCCCAGCTCGTTGGGCACACCCGGCACTCGGCCCCTTCGATATGGAGATGAAATAAACTCGCACGGCATGATGAATGGTTTCAGGCGGGAGGGGTGCACAAACCAGCTCCGCTTACCAAACCGAACCTGGACACATTGGGGCCTGACGACCCGAATGACATCAACCGGCCCTCTCCAAGGTTGCAGAAATTTAGGTGACGTGCCCACTGGCACCTGCAGACAATGCAACCAGGCCTTCTCGCCCGGCGACCAATCGCACAGGGAAACGCGGCCACCTTTGAGCCGCTCGTTGGCCAGCTGCCTGGCCCGAGAGTTAACACTGGTGGCTTCCCGCGCCTCAGTGAGTTTACCCATCGTGAATTGAATCGCATCGGAAATTTTCGACACCTTCGGGGCGAGCGCGGCCTGCAACTGGACATCGATGGGAGGGTCATACTCTTTACCATACATCAAAAAGCAGGTCGCAAACCTCACGCAGTAGCGTGGAAGACATTTTTTTCCCCTGATCCGTCAAGAGACGCTCAGGAGCCCCTTTATCCAGGACATAGTCATTCAGGAACGCCTCGGTGATAGCAACAGCCGACTGATTTGGGAGCGGCTTAGCCATAGGCCAGCACGAGAAATACTCGATGCCTACGAGTAAATATTTGTTGCCACGCGCCGACACGGGAAACGGCCCGAGAATATCGAGGGCAACAATTTAATTTACCCGTGACACCTGGATGGATTGCAGCGGAGGACAACAGGATCTCGCCGGCGGCTTGCGCTGGGCACATTGCACGCAGCCTTTTAATAGATCCTCAACATTGGAGGCCATGGCCAGCCAATAAAAATCC